GTTAGAAGACAACACAACCATCATCACTCTGTTGGAGGAAATCAGCTGTTCAGGAAAAGCCTGGGACTCACAAACCCTCCAGCATGAAGGAAGTGATTCACAGAGGGCTGAATACATGAATATTATATTTATCTCTGTAAAGAAAGAAATATAAGCAGGATTGAGTTTAGTGACTCGCTGCCACCGAGAGCTGAGAGACTGAGAGCTCCTCCTTTAGAATGAAAACTTGAAGACAGAACAAAGTATGTAAGCTAACGAAAGTAAAATTGTGGCGGAAAAAGGTGTGATTGACGGTTACTAGGATTCATCAGCGTTCTATGTGTCACATTATATAAAACCACAGAACAGGTAATATTGATGAACCTACCAGCCGACTGAGAGCTGACAGCAGCTGCTCCCACTGAGGATCCTGCAGCTGTTAATAAATAAAAGGAAAGTTTTTAATTTCTTAACAAATGTCAAACTTTTAACTTTCATTATGCTAGCAAACTGAAACATTAGAGACTCAGTGCCACAAATTAAAACAATTAAACAACTACACCAAAGAATATTCCACTAAACTCTGGTCTACTAAAAAAAAAGAAAGAAAATCATTCATTTATAATATCAATAAAAGGTTGCTCTAAGTTTTTGAGGAAAATTTACTTCAATAAATTAATTGTTCTGATTATCTGCCATGATAACAGCAAACTAATAAAAATGTCTAATGGAAACACAGACCTGTAGTTCCTCTGCTTTCCTACATTTTTACTTTTTAATGATTGCACTAGTGATCATTCATTGTTGGGCTCGTCAGTTAGTTATATTGCTAGAGACAGAAGGGCAGGCACGCAGACAAAGGCAGTTACAGGGAGGCGAGTCTCCCCACCAGCAGCTTAAACTGATTTCTGGGGTAATACTCTACAGTAAAACAGACCCCAAAGCTTTTGTTGGAGCTATTTGTTCTTATTTTTTATTATTTGGAAATTTGTTAAAGTTTGTTGTTAGTTTATTTATATTTGGGGTTTATTTACAAGTTTATTTGTAGGTTAATATTTGTTTCAGTGTTTTGTTTGTTTGATGTTTGTTAAATTAGGCAGTAAGAGCTGTAGGGCCATTTTGTTTCTATAAATAAAGAGACTGGTATAGGACCAGCATGCACTGGGGTGGGCCTATGTTTTTTTTACCAGAGCAGGAGAAGCAGCAGGAAGTAACAAAAAAAATGGATCTTGTTATTGCCAAACTGGATAAAATAAACCATAAAAACGCAACTTTCAAGTTTGGACAGTGGACTTCTTTTGCCTGCGTACGGAATAGTATCTCGGTGCAGCAGTGGCTTGTGGACTTTTAATTGTGGGATGTTTGGTTTGTCAAACAAAAGGAATTGCCACTATAAAAAGTAAAAAACCTGCCCGTGGACAAAGGAATAATCTTTCATTAATGGATATGTTGGATATATGGATTTCAAGGATCACCGTCGAACTCGAATAAAAGTTACTGGATCGTCTGTGAGTACTCCCGACAGATTTGATGTTGAGGCCTGGATCAACATATCACTCGTTCATCAAAGCTGGTGAGTGATAATATTGTTTAAGCCGTAAAGGAAAACGGTGACGCTATTGGAGTTTAAAGACATTATTTCACTACAAAGACTGATGAACTGAGTTTGGATGTACTAAATTTGTGCATAATAGGATCGCTAATTAAAAATGCCAACGCCCTCTGTGGAAATGTTTGTTCGCTGCAATCAGCAGGTAAATTGATGTCATGTTTGCGCGTTATGCTATGGATTCTCAGTGTGCTGTGCATCTTTATAATGTTTGAAATAATCCAAGAGGACAATAAAAATGTCGGATATTAAGAGTAAACAAGAGGATAACACTCAGATGCAAGCAGAGAAAAGAAGCATCAAACTTACACCAAAAGGTTAAGGTCAAACCATAATCAAGTAAAAAAACAAAAATCCATATCCAGTAATACGACATGTGAGCAGCATGGAAGGAGATGTGCAACACACTGTTTATTTTTTCAGTTCACAATGATGCCATAAAGTTTTGAAGGCTTATAGAAGCCAAAGATTTCAGCCAATTCTGTCCAATCACATGGGTGAAGATGATCAAATACACCATCTTAGTATGCAATACTTCAAGGTCAAAGGTCAGGGTCATGCCATACAGGACAAAGCTTCAGTTTCAATTTAATCATCTCTAAAATTTAAAGCAACATCTTAGTCATTGGGGAACATAAGCACAGTTAGTATTGATCAGTTTTCTATGCGTTTCATTATATTAAACTGAGTTAATATTGATGAAGCTACCAGCCGACTGAGAGCTGACAGCAGCTGCTCCCACTGAGGATCCTGCAGCTGTTAAAAATAACAAGGAAAGTTTTTAATTTCTTAACAAATGTTCAAACTTTTTAACTTTCATTATGCTAGCAAACTGAAACATTAGAGACTCAGTGCCACCAAATTAAAACAATTAAACAACTACACCAAAGAATATTCCACTAAACTCTGGTCTACTTAAAAAACAAAAAAAGAAGAATAAAATCATTCATTTATAATCTGAGTAAAAGGTTCGTCTAAATGCTCCTTTCGTGTGATATCTTACCTTCGGCTTGACCAGACTCTGGATGGTCATCTGGAATTCAAGGAAAATCAAAATATGGATACTTGACATTAGAGTTAAATATGAAAGTTTCATCTGAATAAAACAGTGTTCAAGCAGCTGGTTGCCATGGGAACCCATTCTCTGAAACGCTCTATGCACTGTTGTTGAGCTAATCTGAAGGCCACGTGAAGTTTGTAGCGACTGACTCTGCAGAAAGTTGGAGGCCTCTGTGATTTTACGTGGCCCGTCACTTTGTGGCTGATTGGCTGTCGTTCTTTGTTATAATACCACTAACAGCTGACTGTATGTATAATATTTTGTAGCAAGGGAATTTCACCACAGCACTAATGTTGTGGATTTTCTATGATATATATGACATATGTACCTGTACACACTGGACATATACTCACATATGTAATCATATATACTTCTATATACTAAATATATACTTATACTGGAGTATTTTTTTTCTACTCGTTCAAAATCACAAGACCCACATATTTAGGTCAAAGATTATCTTCAATTATATTAATGAAGTTTGTGCCCTTTATTGTACAAACACATGCTGATCAATACTGTTTGAAAATGTACTAGTTAGGATCAATAAGTAACCTTTGACTGTGTTATTGGCCAAAGGTGACTGGTTCAAACAAAGGTTTCTTTGGCACTGCTAAAGTATGCGCATAGGACACTTTCTCTGCGTTTCTCTGTAGCGCCTCACGGTGTGTCCAGCCCTTTCGATGCCTATACGGCAAACAAACCTGCCCCCTGTGCGTGAAGCTGGGATTCTGGTTCTCACCTCAGCCACCAGAAGGCAAGAAAAACCTTTACTCGGCATAGAAAGCAGCTTACGTCTGGCATGCGTACCTGACAAAATTGTCAAATTGATTAACTGTTAACTGCCGTTTTCTCATCAAACTGACAAAGTGAGCCAATTCAATGATGGATGTAAAAGTTATGGGGCAGGGTCAGAAAGTTATGCATCATACGTGGAAGATGAAAAGAAAGAACAAAGGATGAAAGAGTACCCAACGGCAGGCGGAGGGGTCACTGATCCCATATAAGAGGAGGGTCGATATGCCCCGCTCTGCTGCTTCTTCCCTGTCTGTCTGTTGTGTGTCTGTGCTGTTTGTGCTTTGAGGCTCTACACTCCGGGGTTGCTTCGCTTTGCTTGTTCACTTTTTCTGTCATCCTGGTTTATTGTACTCATTTCTGCTGTTCATATGACACTGTTTAATAAACTCTGTTCTAAGAATTCTACTCTTTTCCAGAGGATCTTTTTGAGTGATTGGATTTTAACTGGATCTGAAAAGCTGGACGTCCACAGCATTGGTGGGATAAGGTTATCATACTGGCTTCAAAATGTGCGACTCGACACTTGTTGCACAGGTGGCGTCTTATCACAGGACCACTGAACTGCTGAGAACGAGTGATTCTTTCACATGTTTGTAGAAGAGTCTGCATGTCTTAGTGCTGATTTTATACACCTGAGGCCATGGAAGCGATTTTAACACATGAATGAAAGGATGTGGATGAGCGAGTGAATACTTTTGGAAACAGTGTCAATCAAACTGCTGCAGACTCTTTTAAGTTTGATGGAAAAAAAAACATCTTACATTTAACATTATATGACATACAGTATTTCTTATATTAGTAACAGTGTGGGTAATATTGCTTCATAACCACTGACCTGCTTGAATTTCACATTCCCATAGTGGCTCATCAGCTGGTTCACCATCAGCTGGGTGAGTGTGCACCAGTGTAAGTATGAGTTCACTGCCTGGATTCTTAACGTACACCTCGTAGAAGTTTTGCCTATTGTATCTGAGGGTTAACTCCTGTGTTTGAAAAACAAAAACAAAGGAACTTTAAAATACCTCTGTGAGCGCACACACACACACACACACACACACGCACACACGCACACACGCACACAACGCCCCTGCTTGTGCCATCCTTTTGATTGATGGCCCCAGCCTTGACCTTTTGACCCTACCGGAAGTACTCCGGAAGTGACTAATCGAATCCAGATGTGTGTAATATGATCCATAAGCGCGACGAATTGCATCCTGTGGGGGAGGGGGTACTCCGGAAGTGTCTAATGGATTCCATATTACACACATCTGGATTCGATTAGTCACTTCCGGAGTACTTCCGGTAGGGTCAAAAGGTCAAGAGTGGGGCCATCAATCAAAAAGATGGCACAGGCAGGGGTGTTATACTCTCTCACATGTAGCACAAACTTTACCTTTGGTTGAATTTTTGCACTTGTGTTGTCGGCTCTGAGGCTGAAAGTACGCTCAGTTTGCAGGTACTTGTCTGGGTGTGGTTTTTTGATTCTTTTGTATCCATCTGAGGATTCTTCCTTGTCTATTCCCTGTTATCAGATGATATCAGTCATCAGCAGCTGAAGATTTTAAAATTCAGTTTGGATTTAAAATCGCAAAATAAATTCATGACGAACTGTTAGGATAATGATCATTTTAGCTTATTACACTTTTATCATTGAGTTTGCAGTCAGTATGATGTCATATTTAAAAATAATGGTCAGTGTGCCCAGATAATATTTTTCACCTTGTGTCTAGTATAAAATATAAAAGCAATCGTACTGTGACTTTCTTTGCCTGCACTGATCCTAATACATTGAATCTCTTCAGTTACCTGTTCCAGAGCAGGATCCTGTCGGATTGGATAGACGTGGAGTTTAAGAAATGATGTGTTGGGTTTATAGTACATCAACGTGTAACAGCTGATTTTCAAAGGAAAGAATAAACGTATCAGAGCCCCTATTAGAGAGAAATGTGGTTCAGTTAACTTGACATGTGTTGGTGTGACCTCAGACACTTTTTCCACAACATCTCCACAGTCATCTATGTGGACGACTGCAAACGTGTCCAATATGTCAGGGATGTCATCTGCAGGAGAACACAACAACACAAACATGGTGAGAAGAACAGTTTATAACAGTTTGTGCGCTCACTGTCAGAAATGTCAAACATCTGAAAGTCTTCCTTCATGTCCTCTTACCGATGCAGATCCAGTGTGGCAGGTGAACTTCATTTAACTTCCCAGCAGTGACTGTGACGTCCATCAGAGGACCTGCAGGCATGTATTGTCTGCTCTCCATCCTCTCCATGTGTCCCTCCCAAGATCTAAACTGGTACTGAAAGCTGGTCTTTCCCTTACAGACCCAGCGCAAGCCTGACACTCTGCATTCAAAGTGTCCTGCTGCAGACTGAAGGCTGAAACAGGAATTAAATACACACTCATGAAGGAACAACAGAGTGAATGGAAACACAGAGAGTAGTCGTGTGAATCGGATGCAAAATGAAGAATTTCCTCTGGGAATAAATCCAAAGCTGAACTGTTTCCTGTAGTTCCAGTTTGCTGTGCTGCAGCATTCAGGAAGTTGATTTACCTGTAAGTTGGAGCCTCGTCTGCATCTGTACTGTTCACCTCAGGTTCAAGATTAGTCCAATCACTGCAGTCCTGCTGCAGAGGACAGTCTCTTTAGTCAATAAGTACACATGTTTATAAAGAAAGAAACTTTAGCAATAAATGGATGAATGGAAGGGATTACCGTCAGGCTCTGACAACCTTCAAGCTCTGAACTTCTTTCAGTTTTTCGTCCTTGTTGAGACACAAAGAATTCAAATGAATGATGTTATGCTGACATATAAAATCATCCTCTAACTGTCCACATGTTTGCTGTTTGATCACTTTATGCTGTGCAGTGCTGCTTCAACATCAGAACAACATGTTCAGCAGGACGTGCAGCTGAGTGACGTCTAAGATGATCAAAAGCTGATGAATTCAAATATTCTCACCAGTGATGTCAGAACAAGACAGAGACAGAGAGAAAGGTTGGATTCAGCTCTGATCATTTATGCAAAGTTACTTTTGGACGTCTGTTGTGTTTCCTGTTTATTTTAATGTTTGTTGATTAGAAGTTGTTTAAACAAGTTTATTGTAAATTATGAAAATCTGTTTATTAAACTTTGTTTGGTCTCACCTGAGCTGCTCTCTGACAGCCTCAGCATCAGATCAGGTCTGTTCATGTCTGTTAAAACCTCCATGGTCGCCTCCACAGACTGATGACCAAGTTTATCCACCATCACATACACAAGGTCTTCTGTCCTGTTTGTATACCAGTACCTCACCATTTGTGGCAGGCTCATCTTAAAGCACGTGAACGGCAGCAACTGCTTGAATTTCTTTAGATCCTTTTGACTGAATTCATTCAGTGTTTCCAAGAGAATCTGTCTGACAGCTTCCTGTTCTTTTTCCTGTAAAACCAAAACAATGTATTAAGTTACTGTATAATATCTCTGTTGGACGATTTAAAGATTTCTTTTTATTTAATTTCCAGAGAAACTGAAATAGAAATATCAAATATTAATAAAAAGATGTCTTCATTAATATTTATGTTTCAGAACGATCACCGACGAGACAGCTGGCGGTTTTGATATTTAACTTTGTGTATTTATGAACTTTAGTTTCATGAAAAAAAGTATTGTTTACTTTCCATCAGTACTAAAACCTAAATGTCCTTTTTTCTGGAATTAAAGTCTTTATAAAGTTAAAGAAAAATCTAAAGATGTCATTTCCTGGTTTTATCGTCAGTAGTAGATCCTTCACTCTGTCGTCAGTGGAAACATTATTGCTGCAGACTCCACATTAACACTGTGAGAAGCATCCAGTTTCAGAGATGCTTCGTCTGTTTCATCGTGTTTAATGTTCAAGATGAGGATGATTTACAGCCTGAATCTACTGAATGAAAGCTGAGTTAAAGTCACACTCACTCTCTTCAACAGTGCAGCTCCATGTTCATCCACAGAGTGTTTCTCTGAGGAGGAAAGACATTTACCATCAACTCTGAGGATTCAAACATCATCACACATCCAAGTAGAATCAGCCTTCAGACGACACAGATGATTTAAAAGAGAAAATCATGTGAAACTAAATAAAATGACATAAGAACCCAACAAAGAAACCCTCCATCCTGTCCAACCAAAGTAACTGGGGGTTCCCAGCTGTGATAATGAGAGAGGGTACACCTGTCCACCTCAGGTTTTAAACAGACAGACAACCTTTCACACCCACATTTAATTTAGAACCAGCAATAAAGCCAACAAGCATGTGTTTGGACTGGAAACCAGAGCACTCTGAGGAAAAGCATGCAGGCACAGGGAGAACATGCAAACTCCACACAGAAAGGTTCCAGCCAACCAGGAGGCTCAAACACACAACCTTCATGCTGTGAGGACACAGTGCTAACCACTGCACCACCATGACACCAGCAACACAAAAACCTGTTGATGACACAGAGTTTACACTCATGCATGTTGGTCTTACCTCTGGATGCTGAGCTGCTCTCTGGTAACTTCTGCACCAGATCAGTTCTGTTCATGTGCATGAAAACTTCTCTGGTCACCTCCACAGACTGATGACCAAGTTCATCCACCATCAGATTCACTACATTTGCTCTGGTTGATGAGAGACTCAACCTGTCTGTATATGAGAAGAATGACAGATTCCTCCAAGGAAGGATCGTCTGCAGGATCCTCTTAAATTTCTTGAGCTCCTCATCACTCAAATCATTCAAAGTTTCTAAAAGCAGATGTTTAACAGCTGCCATTGTTGCCATCTGGAACAATAAACACAATCACGGGGTCACATATTTATTTAGCCAAACACAAGCATCTATTTACTAGTTGCGGTACGTTTATGAAAAAAATGAAGAAAATATAAAACTGTGATCCACTTTTATGGGTTTGAATACTTTTTCTTTACAGGCTGCAGTTCTTCTCTCACTGTGCAGATAAAAACTGAAATATATCCATCAAGAATCTTTCCCTGATTTCACATCATCTTTCATTCTTTATTAATATTTGTAAGTAGAATAAAGTTTCCTGTTTAATCTGAAAGTGTTTGATGTTTTCAGATTTCTCTGTCCTGTTGAAGAGTCAGGACAAATGTACATGCTGACACTTCCTCAGCTCATCCTCAGTGGTAAAGACATCCTGACATTAGTGTTGCAGAAAATTACTGCTGAAGAAGTCAAACTGAATGAAGCTTCAGTTTGTCACAAACATCCAGCAGAAATCATGAGAAAAATGAGTCAACATGAGAACTGATGATACTTTAGTCCTCTGACTTTCAGCCTGCTGTCTTGTACTGAATCAGAGATGTGACATGACTCACTTTGTGGATCAGTGCAGAGCGTCGTTCATCCACAGAGTGTTTCTCTGAGGAGAAAAGTGCTCAAAGTCACTCATGACAAACACATTTAACAACTAACTGACAATTATTCAGGAAATATGACTTTGGAAAAATGGACAATATGCAGAATTACACTGAAACCTCCTCAGCAATAATAAACAGTATGAAGGAGTCATTTTTACTCCTCCTCACAAAGTATTTGGATTTAATCTGGTCTCATTTTTATGTATTTATTGAAGTAGATTTTTCCAGAACAGCCATAAAATATGTTTTAAAGATGTGTTTTTTTGTCTTTATTACAAATATTATTTATAAAGTCAAAGAAGACTTTAGTCAGACGTTTATGAGACATGAAAACAGTTTTATGACTTTAATGAGTTTTGATTTTGTTGTCTTACTTCGAGGCAGTGAGCTGCAGTCTGACAGCCTCTGAGCCAGATCAGTCCTCTTCATCTCCTTTAAGACCTCCATGGTCTTCTCCACTGACTGTTGGCCGTAAGTCAGCACCATCAGAAACACTGTGTGCTGCAGGTTTGTCCTCATGTACCACATCCATGAGAAGACTGAGTCATATTTGTGAAGATGAATTTGTGGCAGGTTCTTATTGAACTCACTGAGCTCCGGCTCATTGAGACCATCCAGAGCTTCCAGCAGCAGCTCAATAACAGACTCCATCGTTTCTACCTGGAAAATTCAAAGAAAATGTTCATGAGATAAATGTGACATTTCTCACTTTCAGGTTTGTTTGTTTTCTCATCAACACTTTACAAATGTAGATGTGTTTAGATGACATCATCCATCACATAAGGTGATGATGTCATTGGTCATATTTGTCACAATGATCACAAACAGCTGATTAACAATTATTCTGCTTCTGTTAACAAGTTCAGGACTTTTCTGACCTGCTGCAGACCTCCCTCACTGCACACGCTCAACTTATCAAACTTTGACTTTTCCAATCAAAATCAAATCATTTGTTTCTATTGAAGATTTCTATCCTGTGTTTATGAAATGAAAGCTGGATGATCTGAAGTCAGACAGATGTGACATGACTCACTTTGTGGATCAGTGCAGGCCAACGTTCATCCTCAGAGTGTTTCTCTGACAGAAAAGAAAGATTAAAAGCTTCATTCATGACTGATTTAACATCAGTGTTAATAATCAGACACTTTGAAATAACTGATGCTTTGATTTCATTCTGATGATCCTTGTAAGTTGGATTAATAACAACATTAAACTTGTTAACATGAAGTCATATTTGATGGGAAACTATCAACGTGTGAGGAAATGATCCAGTTCTGTTTCATTCAGTAATTCTTCTTCTTCTTCATCTTCTTCATCTTCATATCAATGAGTGTATTTATTGATTCATGTGTTTTCTGGACACTGACCTTTCTCTGTTTCCTCCACATCAAATCCTTCAGCTGATGATCCTGCAGCTGCAACACATTGAATACAAACTGTAACTACATGATACAAACACTGTGTGTGTCCTTTATGTGTGCTCATCCTGAGTATAACACTGAGTCCTGACAATAAAAAGCTTTAATATTTCACTTTCAGCTGTGCTGACTGAAGGCAGGAGGAGGCCATAGTTACACAATCACAGAGAAATCACTGAAAAGACTTTGAATCATTTACCTCATACAGGTCGTCTGTCTCCATAGTGGAGTTTCAATCAAAGCTAACATAAAGATCCATTTACAACACAAGACTGATATTAATGAGCTCAAAATGCAAAAAACAAAGAAAAATATTTTCAAAGGAAAGAAGTTCAAAGAGCTTTAAAAGAACATTTACTAAAGAAAGTCACTGATTCAATAAGCTGAATATTTTTACTTTAAACATTGAAATATGAAAACAAATCTGTTTAATTTTACTGTGTTTGTACAACCTGAATGTGTTCATTTATCAACGTCTGTCCAAAATAAATCAGAGGAAACAAATTCTTTCATTTATAAATGATAATAAAGTTTATATTATGCAGTTCTTGTTGTGAGTTTCTCTGATTTAATTCTTTAAATTAATTTTTACTGTAAGGTGTAATATTATATTTAAAATCCTTCCACACACAGTTAAGAATAATCCCAACATATCTGTTGTATTAATTTATGCAGCTTATGATTATTGTACAGCTGTCCTTCTTGGCCAGGACACTCTTGTAAAACAGATTTTTAATGTCACAATTTGATTTTTACCTGGTTAAATAAACTTTAATGAATAAATAAAATGTATTAAAGTTATTACAGACACTCTGACAGATTATTTCCTCTTACCTTTGAGTCCTGAGCTGCTCTCTGACAGCCTCTGCACCAGATCAGTTCTCTGCATGTCTGTTAAAACCTCCCTGATCACCTCCACAGACTGATGACCAAGTTTATCAATCATATCATTCACTATTCCTCTTCTGCCATTATTCAGTTTGATTTGTGGAAGACTCTTCTGAAAACAAGTGAACTGCAGGAACAACTTGAATTTGTTGAGATCCTGATCACTCAAATCCTCCAGTGTTTCTAGAAGCACATCTGTAACAGCTGCCATTGTTGCAACCTGGAAAATTCAAAGCAAACATTCATAAAGAAAAAATGTTTCCTCACTGAGAAAATTACAGATTTATGTTTTTGTAGCTGTTTTAAACTTTGAATGTTTTCAATGTTTTCTCTGAAACACTTTGTTTTCTTTTATTATCTTATTTATTAAGATGTATTTATGTAAACACACTTTTTAATAATCTTTGATTTTAAATCTAAAAACATTTCTGTGACAACTGTTTAATCTAAATGATGAAATTATGATTTTCAAACTGCATCTTATTGAATCAAAGCTGAACTCTGCAGAGTCAGACAGATGAGACGTTACTCACTTTATGGATCAGTGCAGACAGATGTTCATCCACATGTTTGTCTGAAAAAAGAGAAATTAACAGAAATAGAAATAAGTGTTTAATAAAAGCTAATCGAGCTTTAAAAAAATACACAGAGATCAAAAAAAAAAAAGTTACATTTAAACCTGCTGAACATCATTTTCTGCTCGTCAACAATGCTCTCTTTGCTCTGTAAATCTGACTGTTTCTAATATGAACTGAAGCAGAAACACTTTTATGATTTTAACATGTTTTGTCTTTATCTCACTTTGAGCTTCTGAGCTGCTGTCTGTCAGCCTCTGAGCCAGATCAGTCCTCTTCATCTCCTTTAAGACCTCCACGATCTTCTTCACTGACTGTTGGCCAAAAGTCCTCACCATCAAAAACACCACATCCTGCACGTCCGGCAGGTCTGACATCTCAGACAGACTCATGGGGCTCATTGAGCCATGTTTTCTTCTCAGGATCTCGATGAAGTCTCTGACCTCGCTGCCTCTCAGATCAGCCAGTGTCTCCAAAAGCAGCTCAATAAGAGACTCCATCGTTTCCACCTGGTAAAAACAGAGGTCACATGACAGCGATGCACCATTCAAATGTCTGTTTGATTTTTAATCAACAGAAACATTTTAGTGTGCTAAAAATAAATTCATGTTTGAATCCAATTCTTTCTAAAAACCTGAAAAGATGACCTTTGACCTTCAGAGATAAAGCTGCGTCTTTTTAAGGTCATGACCGGTCGACCAGATGTCGAGCAGAAAATAACCTCCATGAACATCTGGTGCTCGGTGGGTACCTGCTTGGATTGGTTTTTTATTTCTTGGCTCATTTTTTCCTCTTTTTGAAGGATTTAATTTTCATGAACAGGTTTGTGACTCTGTTTTACTGCCTGACTGTAACTCTGTCAAAGACTGAGCTACAAAAACTGCAGTGAGTCTCCTGATTTTACAAACAGAGGGGAGCTTTAACTGCTCGCATCTTTACTGATAAACAGAAAGACTTGAATTTAATCTGCTTTTAAAATGTAAATAAGGTTTAATATTTCTATACCAATCATGTATAAAACTCATGTGTACATGACAAAGCTGCAGCTTGAATCTCATGTGTATGATTTGTGTTGAAGATGAAGATCATTTTCAGTCTTCATCTACTGAATCAAAGCTGAACTGTGTGAAGTCGACTGATGTGACGTTACTCACTCTCTGGCTCAGTGGAGGAAACTGTTTGTCTGAGGAGAAAAGAAAGAGAAAAAGTCAGATTAGAAACTGTTTTATCATCAGGCTTTATGAGGATTTAGAACATGAAAGATTTCACATCAAAGTGACACTTAAACCTCGTTAACTCGTTAATAATGATTTTAGAGAGAGGCCTAACTTTGTGAATGAGAGCACACACAGGATACTCTGATCACTTTTATGTGTGTGTATATATACTCACACACATATATAAATATACACTACATGTCTTTGAACGTGACGGGAGTCGACTCCAGACCGGGCGTTTCTGTCCAATGAGGGTCCCAGGCTGCCTCTCCCATGCTAACCAACCGTAACTTGGACATAACTTGGACATTCCCAGATAGACTTAAAGGAAACTCATTTCTGTTTGTATCCATAATCTCATTCTTTCAGTCCTCAGAGCTTGTGACCATATGCATGGGCAGGAACATAGCTCCACCTACAAATCTAAAACATCAGGGCCCGCTCTCTCCTCACCAGGGCAGATCAGCAGAGCATCCACATCACTGCAAACACAGCACTAATCTATCTGTCAGTCTCCTGCTCCACTCTCCCCTCCCCTGTGAATGACACCCTTAGATACTTAAACTCCTCCAAATGGGGGAACTCGTCCGTGACCTGGAGTGAGCACTCCACCCTTTACCAGCTGAGAACCATGGCCTAAAACTTGGAGGTGCTACTTTCACCCACTTGTTGCACATTCAGATTCAAACTGCCCCAGTGAGAGCTGGAGGTCGTGACTCCATGAAGCGCTTTGTCTCTCCAAAGCGTGCTGCACATGCGTGTCTGTTACATGCTTCCTTGATATGGGTTGCGTGACCAGAGAACTCCAGCTCTCTCAGGTACAGTAGATGCAGCTACGTCTCCAACATTCTGATAACTTCTAGTCTGGAAAGTTCCCCATCCAGACGATGAAGGCAGTGATGGCATCTGAGTCTTTCTTCTTTATAGACACTGACAGATACTAGATACTGTGTGTTACTTTAATTTAGGACCAGCTGCAACTGAATAAATTCACAATACAGTTAATAAGTCCCATTTATTAAAACTGTAAAGGTGGAATTGTTTGACTGGAGTCCTCTGACACCTACAAACATTTGTATTTTTAAAGAAGCACCAATCAAAGCAGAAATAGAAAATTGTGTGAAACATTAGCAACAACCTGACAAATTCATTAAAAATTTAAATGATAGAAAAAAAAACACATCTGTGAGGTATGACAAAAATCTACCACAGACTTCAGTCAGTATGATGAGGGTTAATAGTGACATAATTATAACCTGTAGAGCTGCTTGAAGACTTTCCAACCATGTTGAATGATGTTGGATGTTTTTGTTCTGATCTGATCAAAATACTGTAACTGAGCTTGTGTAACAGTGTTTATGTTGTGTGTGATTCCATAATAACCACAATGGATTTGTGATGTTTATTGGCTCAATGGCGCCCTCTCTCAGAGGCAGTGGATCACTGCACTGTGTGGGATCATTAGGTATCAGCATGTGTGCGACCACTATACAGAGCATGTGACCTCTGTAACTGTCTAACTGTTAATAAGAAGAGTTTCAGTGGTTTGTTGTAATTGTGAAGTCCTGAAACAGTCACATAATATCACTGCACACCGGCTATAAGCTGCTATTATTTTGTAGTGTGCTGTGTTTGAGCCTCCTGTAATGAGCCAGCCTGCCTGACCTGCACATATTCTGCTCTAATCCACGTTATAAAAAGCAGCACGAAAATATAAACGTCTTTGTTCATCATTCACTACACAACACAGAGTCAAGAGATTTTTCTATCAGTCAGCACCTGGTTTCATATGAATGTGATGAACTATGTGCAGTATTCTCACATATTTAAGTCTTTGTTCTCTTATTTGTGGTTCCTGAGGTGATACCTGATAATCTCTGCACCAGATCAGTCCTGTTCATCTTCATTAAAGCCTTTCTGGTCTCCTCCACACTCTCTCCTCTGTACGTCTCCTCCATCAGCTTCACTACATCCTGTGTGTTTGATGTTTTCAGTCGACCCCTTGGCTCGGATGATAGATCTTTCTCCAGTTCAGTGAGTGACTTGAACTCAGCAAAGTCCTCTGGACTCAACTGGTTCAGTGTTTCAATGAGCAGCTTCTTAGTCGTCATAGTTACCACCTGGAAAATGAAGGAATCATATTATACATGAAGGACAGCATGTCTGCTGTTTGTTCATTTGATGAATGGAAACGGACTGCTTTGTATTTCACTAATGACAACATTACTGACATGGACGTTTGTTACTTTTCCATCACCCAAATGAAAACTGTGATTGGACGTGAACGTCAAACATCAGCTTGAACCTTGAATAAAATTGAGAGGATTCGTTTTTGTCTCCAAAAGGACGTTGAGTTGTTTCTAAATAGCTGCTGAAAAAGTTACACTGTGAAGTAATAAATGAACCAGTACAATGTCTTGATGCATTCTCAATCATCCAGGAAAGTAAATCTCCAAGCTAGTGGAGCTGATCACAGCCACAGAAACAGCAATTCGTAACAACAATATTGCAGAAGTGGAAGCAGAGCAACTACGGACGAAAGTTTCGGCCTGTCTCAGCAATGCAAAGCCCCCAGCATCCAACATCACCATGGAGGAGAGGAAGGCACTCACATCACTTAGTGATGACAACAACATTATCCTCCTTCCAGCAGACAAGGGTAGGTGCACAGTATTGCTAAACCAGAAAGACTATCATGAGAAGATCTTGTCAGTACTCAGTGATGAAAATACTTATGAGCCCCTGAAACGAGACCCAGGAAGTGGCTACAGGAAGAGGGCGATAGACTGTCTGAAGCAGTTAGAACAGGACAAGGCTGTTGACCGGACCTCATACCACAGGCTGTACCCAGGGGAGTCTACACCAAGTCTGTATGGTTTACCAAAAATACATAAACAGGGTGCACCTTTAAGACCGATTGTCTGCAGTTTCACCCATCGTGGCCAATTTGTACATGGAAGAAGTGAAGAAGTGGAAAAGAGGGCTTTGCTATCCTACCCTGGAACACCACCAAGCCATTGGTTCAGATATGTGGATGACACCTGGGTGAAAATGAAATCCCAGGACGTACTACATTTCACGGATCACATTAACTCGGTGGACCGACACATCAAATTCACCAGGGAGGATATGAAAAGTGGCAGGTTAGCCTTCTTAGACTGTGAGATTTCCATCAGTAATGGGGGACATCTAAAAGATGACGTGTACCATAAACCTACACATACGGATCAGTATCTAAGGTTTGACTCTCGTCATCCACTGGAGCACAAACTGGGAGTCATCAGGACGCTACAACACAGAGCGAACACCATCCCCACTGACACAGCGGCCAGGGAGGCAGAAGAACAGCACATCAAGAAGGCCCTGAGTGGTCTTTGATCAGTGGGTTTTGGTCAGTGGTTGTTGATCAATGGTCATGAGAATTTGCATAATTATGATTAAGGAACTGACCTCCCAGCCTATTGTTCCTTCACTGGGCTGGTTTCAGTCATTATGCAAATGTACTGTTTATAAGATTTGGGGAAACCTGCAGTCAGCTGAGACTGAAGAAGTCACTCGGATGAGTGACGAAACGTTTCTCCCACAAAACGCTACGTCCAGATGAACAGAATCAGCTTTTGGAGAACCAGTACAATGCACAACAGTCTCATTTTCCCCGGTAAAATTAATTATCCATCCCTGGTTTGTACAAACTTTACAAATTAAAAATCTCAATTCGAACTGGTCAGAAACACACAATAAACGAACTGTTATTTGTTTATTGTAAAAAAAACCACAAACCTTTAAATAACATTTATAATAATTATTGTGTCATTATATCTGTGACTCTGACATTCACCATCCAGGAAGCAGAGTGTGTGAGGAAGATCTGGTGTCTGATGAAGATGAGAGATTAAGCTGCGCACAGATAACTTTAACCCTAGAATACTATCGCTATTTGATTTTCAACATTTACATGATTTCTCTCTCCTGCAGCTGTTAGTGTGTCGAGGAGACTGTGCCTTCACCAGGGAAGTCTCAAATGTCCCAGGAATGGGTGGACCAAAGACCAGCTTTCCAGTGTCATTATCTTTTTTAGGAATTTTGTTGTTCTTTGCCCTAATTTTTCTGTGATTTTGGAGCATTATTTTAGGGTCCCCACATGACACTTTTTTCATTTTGTTAGACATGGCACAGTTGAAAGTAAAAGAAGACAACTCTAATTTGTCATGTGTTGTAAAATTTTGATATATTTTGATGACAAGTACTTTTTGTTGGTCATATTATATCGGGTAAAAATCACCCGGCATTAGTGATTGTGTTGCTGTTTATAGCGATAGCGTTCTAGGGTTAAGATCACGTGACTATCGTGGCCTTTTGAAACCGCTACAACCAGAACTCTACCGTGACCGAGACCTCCGGTTCTTTCCCACAGAGCTCTGCACCTCTGCTTCAAACCAGCAACAGTCACATGATCTAATATAACTTATTATTGTATCTCATTCCCTGTTACACACACATGAAAACAACTCCAACAAGGAAGCAGAACTACGAACGTGAACTTCCAGGAGGAAGCAGAACTTAATGCCGCGCTTACCTTCAATACTTCATGTAAAATGTGAACACCAGGAATCACTGCTGATGGAAAATCATTCTTCAGTGTTTGTGAAGCAGCTTAGTGTGAGGCACTGTTCTCCCGCTGCTTTCTCTCACTTTCTGTAAACGCTGAGGCGGAAAAACTTCCGCTTTTCTGCGTCTCTCTCCTCCCAGCTGTCAGCCCGCCTGAATAACGGAGGCGCCTTGATGCTAGTGATGGGTCGTTCGCGAACGAAATGGCTCTTAGAGCCGGCTCTTTGACGTGAACGACGCGAGCCGGCTCCTTATCGCGAGCCGTCACGTGGGTTTTTTTTTTTTTTCTTTCTCTCAGCCTCTCTCTCGCACTTTTTTTCCGCTTCACTCTGCACGCGAGCCTTGTGCTTTACGCTGGGCAGAGGGGGGAGGGGCGGTAGTTACACTCAGTAGCACAGGAACAGAGCCAGAGAGAGAGAAAGAGAGGCAGGGACAACAACATTAGAAAGGTATAGTAATCATCCACAACTATTTTCGGTTGCAGATGATAAAGGATTGAGAAAGTTTATTCATGCAGGTCCATATGACAGAGAATATGCATGTTCTTTTAGTTTTCATATTATAATTTATATTTAATTGTGTTGTGGTTTGCAGTGTTTTGTGTTCTTTTCACTTTAAATTTGTGAAAGGAAAAAGCTGAAAATTTAAATAGTTAAAACTTGAAATGTGAATAGTTGATTTTTGTATTATATGATTTATTTATTATATTTTATGTGGAGTGAATAAATAAAAGTATATTTACGGTGGCCCCTAGAGACAAAGCACATACAAACTTCAAATCACGTACGAACTCTGAAGCATGTACAAACTCCAAAACACGTAAAAACTCCAAAACACGTAAAAACACGTACAAACTCCGAAGCACGTACAAACTCAGAAGCATTTAAAAACTCAGAAGCACATAAAAACTCAAAACACGTACAAAAGACAACAGAAGTGCTCCAGGATGCTGGGCGCAGTGTTGAGCCTTTGTTATCTTGTGGCTACACAAGCCAGCAAGTACCAACGACCGGATTTGGTGTGTGGTAATAACAGGTAAATGAACTTTTTTTAAATTATTGAATATATATATGAGTGCCTGTGTATAAATACACAAACAATACACACATGCTTTCAATTGTGTAATTTAAGTGATCTAGTAGCTCTGCTTTGGAAGTTCAGTTCATGCTAGAAATGTGTTTTGGAGTTTGTACGTGTTTTGTCTCTAGGGGCCACCGCATATATTTATATAAACATATATAAATAAAACATAATTTATATATTGTTAATAATAAATTAATTAAAGCAACAAAACAACCTGAAGAGCCGGTCGGAGCCGAAAGAGCCGGCTCTTTTTAGTGAGCCGAACCTAAAGAGCCGGATCTCTAAAAAGAGCCGGAAATCCCATCACTACTTGATGCGACTGTTGTTCTAATTTTGCGCCATAGAAATAAACAGAGTTGAAATAGATGTTACCGCCTTTCCATCAACGTTACCTTTGGCTCAGGTATGAGTAGAAAGAGTGACGTCGTGTCTCTTTAATCAGTCTCTGCATCTCCAAAGCAACAACGGATACACCGAGTTTAATAAATACTGAATCCGTTAATAATAATAAAAAGTTCCATAATCCAAAGTAAGCATCACATTCACATGCTCACTAGAGCTACTTATGTCTGACTGAACACTCTTAAGCTGTAATTTACCACAGACGGTATAAATCTTTAATACTGTGTGTTTCTGTTATTCACTAAACATCTGTCAACGATCAGGAAGACCTGCAGTCTCCTGGAGAGCCAACAGGGGGCGAAACCAACCCACTGAATTAACAATGGTACAGGGACGAACGCTGGTTTGAGGGCGGAGTCCTTCACTCTGTCGTCAGTGGAAACATTATTGCTGCAGACTCCACATTAACACTGTGAGAAGCATCCAGTTTCAAAGATGCTTTGTCTGTTTCATCGTGTTTAATGTTCAAGATGAGGATGATTTACAGCCTGAATCTACTGAATGAAAGCTGAGTTAAAGTCACACTCACTCTCTTCAACAGTGCAGCTCCATGTTCATCCACAGAGTGTTTCTCTGAGGAGGAAAGACATTTACCATCAACTCTGAGGATTCAAACATCATCACACATCCAAGTAGAATCAGCCTTCAGACGACACAGATGATTTAAAAGAGAAAATCATGTGAAACTAAATAAAATGACATAAGAACCCAACAAAGAAACCCTCCATCCTGTCCAACCAAAGTAACTGGGGGTTCCCAGCTGTGATAATGAGAGAGGGTACACCTGTCCACCTCAGGTTTTAAACAGACAGACAACCTTTCACACCCACATTTAATTTAGAACCAGCAATAAAGCCAACAAGCATGTGTTTGGACTGGAAACCAGAGCACTCTGAGGAAAAGCATGCAGGCACAGGGAGAACATGCAAACTCCACACAGAAAGGTTCCAGCCAACCAGGAGGCTCAAACACACAACCTTCATGCTGTGAGGACACAGTGCTAACCACTGCACCACCATGACACCAGCAACACAAAAACCTGTTGATGACACAGAGTTTACACTCATGCATGTTGGTCTTACCTCTGGATGCTGAGCTGCTCTCTGGTAACTTCTGCACCAGATCAGTTCTGTTCATGTGCATGAAAACTTCTCTGGTCACCTCCACAGACTGATGACCAAGTTTATCCACCATCAGATTCATTATATCTGCTCTGGTTGATGATGGACTCATCCAAAGAAAAATTGACTCCAGGAATCTCTTGAACTCCTCGAGCTCAAATCATTCAAAGCTTCCAAAAGCAGTTGTTTCACAGCTGCCACCATTGCCACCTGGAAAAGTCATTCAATTTGCAGGACATTTATTTATTTATCCATTTTATCCAAATAAGGTCTTTTAGAAAGTTCAGTATGATTTCTCATAACCACAAAAAAGCAGAAATCATGAGAAAAATGACTCAACATGAGAACTGATGATACTTTAGTCCTCTGACTTTCAGCCTGCTGTCTTGTACTGAATCAGAGATGTGACATGACTCACTTTGTGGATCAGTGCAGAGCGTCGTTCATCCACAGAGTGTTTCTCTGAGGAGAAAAGTGCTCAAAGTCACTCACAAGAGACTTACTTACCAACTGACAGTTGTATAATCTTCAACATTACATTTAAAGCACAAAACACTGTTTGTGTTATTCAGTCTCTCAGACTGAAGGAGTCACTTTTTGTCATTTTTTTGTTCCTTGAACACTCATAAATTCTGATTTGGACAACAATCTGTCTTTTCTCTACAATATTTTTATGAAAGACAAAAACTTTACTTATGAGACATCTTAACCACCAGAGTTCATTTAACTTATTTCATCTTTGTTGTCTTACTTTTGGGTTCTGGGCTGCAGTCTGACGGCCTCTGAGCCAGATCAGCCCCCTTCATCTCGTTTAAACCCTCCATGGTCTCCTCCACTGACCGCTCACCGTAAGTCAGGACCATGAAAAACACCATGTCCTGCAGGTCTGTCCTCATGTAGATGATTCTTTGGATGTCTGACTAATGTTTGTAATGAATTTTACGCAGGACTTCCTTGAAAACCTCAAGTTCCCAGTAACTCAGACCAGCCAGGGTTTCCAAAATCTGCTCAATAACAGACGCCAACGTTTCTACCTGAGAAAAAAAAAAAAGGTAAATGCGACTTTTCTCCAGTTTTTTTTTCTATCTCATCAACGTCTCATAAATGTTTAGATTACACCAGACACAGTTACAAGCAAATGATGTAAGTGATAATTACACACCTGATTAACATTTATTCCAACCTGATGACTTTAATCTTTCTGTTTATCTTTTCTACATGTAGGAGTTTTTTAAACTAAACATGTTCAGTGAACGCTGCATCATTTAAATACAGTCATAGGTGATATTACTCACTTTCTGGCTCAGCGCAGCCCAGTATTCATCCACAAAGTTTCTCTGGGAGAAATATTACAATATCATGGTTACCATGAGAAAAGAAAGTGTAGTATCCCCACAGCAGACTCGTCCACAGTTTAATGCTTTTCAGCACAATCTTTATTCATACTTACACTCGGTTGCTGTTACAAACACACACAGCTGCAGCTTTTCAGCCGCCACAACAACAACTCTCAGGATCAGGTACAGATTTTAAAGCTGATGCTGGCAAAGTTAGAAAGGTGCCGGCTGTGAACAACACCTCATCTATCTATTACTTCATTTGCTCTCTTTAGGCTCCACAATGATTGTCTGTCTAGTGTCTGTCGTCCACCTTAAATCCATTCATAACTTATTTAACGTCAGGGTTAATGATCAGAAAACAATTAAGTGTGTAAGGAAAGAATTTAGTCGTTTGTAATCTTAATATTAATGTCTGTGTTTTATTTAACAATATCTATTATTAAACACTTCAGTGAAGAAAATCCTCCTGCCTTCTTTCAGGAAGACAAAAAAACTTCCATTGTTCAGTTTTTGTGACTTGGTTCAAAGATTTTGAATCAACTCTTGATAATTTTTTTTATTAGGGATAATTATTCTCTTACCTTTGAGTCCTGAGCTGCTCTCTGACAGCCTCTGCACCAGATCAGTTCTCTGCATGTCCCTGAAAACATCAATGGTTACCTCCACAGACTGTTGGCCACATGTTTGCACCATCGCGTTCACTATATGTTTTCTGTTTGTACTCGGTGGGAATTGTGGAAGGCCCCTCTGAAAACATGTGAACTGCAGGAACCACATGAACTCCTTGAGACCCTGATCACTCAAATCCTCCCGTGTTTCTAGAAGCAGAGCTTTAACAGCTGCCATTGTTGCAACCTGGAAAATTCAAACATTCATAAAGAAAAATTAAATATTAATGTTTCTGTTGCTGTTTTAAATATTAAAACTAATTGAAGACATTTAAATCATGTTTTCTCAAAAAAATTTAATATAAAAAAGCCAACATTTATAAAGAAAATATATCATTTCCACACTAAGACATTTTTTGGCATTTCTGATAATGTGTGATTTTCACCTAAAACACTCAGACACTGTGCAAACGAGCTGGCCCCAGTGTTTTCTGGCATTTTCAACTCCTCACTGCAGGCATGTCATGTGCCTGCCTGCTTCAAGTCCTCTACCATAATCCCTGTCCCCAAGAAACCTAGGATCACTGGACTAAATGACTACAGACCCGTGGCTCTGACATCTGTGGTCATGAAGTCATTTGAGCGCCTGGTTCTCTCCTATCTCAAGACCCTCACGGCCCCCCTCCTGGACCCCCTGCAGTTTGCATACAGAGCCAACAGGTCTGTAGATGACGCCATCAACATGGCCCTACACTTCATCCTGCAGCATCTGGACTCCCCAGGAACCTACGCCAGGATCCTGTTTGTGGACTTCAGCTCTGCCTTCAACACCATCCTTCCAGACCATCTCCGAGGCAAGCTTTCCCAGATGAATGTGCCTGATCCCATCTTCCGGTGGATCACTGACTTCCTGTCGGACAGGAAGCAGCACGTGAGGCTGGGAAAGAATGTCTCGGACTCCCGGACCATCAGCACCGGCTCCCCTCAGGGCTGTGTTCTTTCTCCTCTGCTCTTCTCCCTGTACACCAACTGCTGCACCTCCACCCACCAGTCTGTCAAGCTAATCAAGTTTGCAGATGACACCACCGTTATTGGACTCATCTCGGACGGGGATGAGTCTGCCTACAGGAGGGAGGTTGAACGTCTGGTGTCTTGGTGCAGCCACAACAACCTGGTGCTGAATGCCCAGAAGACAGTGGAGATTATTGTGGACTTCAGGAAGCACACAGCTCCACTCCCCCCATCATCCTGACTGACACCCCCATCACCTCTGTGGACTCATTCCGCTTCCTGGGTACCACCATCACCCAGGACCTGAAGTGGGAGCCCACCATCACCTCCGTCATTAAGAAAGCCCAGCAGAGGATGTACTTCCTGAGGCAGCTGAAGAAATTCAACCTGCCAACACGGACGATGATGCAGTTCTACACTGCAATCATCGAGTCCATCCTCACCTCCTCCATCACCGTGTGGTACGCTGGAGCCACTATCAGGGACAAACAGAGACTGCAGCGTGTTGTGCGCTCTGCTGAGAAGGTGATTGGCTGCAGACTCCCATCTCTGCAGGACCTGTACACCTCCAGGACACTGGGGCGTGCAGCTCGGATCTCAGCTGACCCTTCTCACCCTGGACACAGTCTGTTTGGCCTGCTCCCCTCAGGCAGGAGGCTCCGGTCCATTCGTACCAGAACCTCTCGCCACAAGAACAGTTTCTTCCCCTCTGCTGTTGGACACATGAACAATAACCATATGACTGTTCCCACCACTAACACATGACACTGCACTGTCATGTGCAGTGCAGTGTGTTCACTGCATCATTCTGTGTTTGCACTGATCACCACCTGCACTCATGTATATATCTTTCTACATAGCACTTTTAATTCTTATTCTTATTTTTATTTTCATGTCTATTTAAGCATTTATGACAGTATGTTTGCACTGAAGCACCGCAGCAATTTCCTAATGTTGTAAACCTGCTCAACATTTGGCAATAAAACCCTTCTGATTCTTCTGATTCTGATTCTGATTCTGAAAACACAGATACATTTAGTAACGAGGGCCTGAGCATTCACAGTGTGAAGACCTTGTTGTGTATTCACTATTATTGTGTGGATGCTTTAAGCATCCACACTTTTGAGTTCCTGTTTCTCTTTATACTTTATTATTCTTCAAGTTGCTCGTTTTTCGTCCGCTAACTACTTCCACAATTTTCAGCCGATTTTCACCGTTCAAATTTTAAACTATTCTGCTATTTCTGCTAATTTCTGCTATGATTTTTGCTATTTTTTGCTATTATACTTTTTAAAATATTAAGCTTTTTTCCTTTAATTTGTCCCATTGAAATGAATGGGAAACTTCCAAAACTCTGCTAAATTTTGCTTGTTTTTGAAACTTAACTACTTCCTCATACTTTCACCTAGAACAACCATTCAAACTTTAAAATGTTCACAAATTATTGGGCTATTCAGGTATGATTCAGCTTTTTCAAATCTTTTACTGTTTTACTTTTATGCCTCTTAAAGTTTTGAGTTGCACAATTGTGATTTTTCAGAAAATACATGCGTTGTTATGGTTGCTATGCTCTTGGCTTCCAGTGTGTCACTGAAGGTTTTGCAATTTTCACTTCATGTCCGAACAACTTCTTGCTACTTGCTCAATTTTCACTCAACTTCCACAAATTATACATCAAAACGTAGGTATTTTTGCTGGCTTTCAGAAAATGTCACCATCATTGTTGTGGGATTTATAGAATTTTGGCAAATCTCCTCAGACCAACACAAGGTCTCAAAACTCTCCATATAAAGTGAATGGAGAGCTTGTTCAAAATCATCGCTGGATTTCTGTAATGAGAGGCATATTCGAATCGTCATATCTCCTTAACGAAGCGACTTTAAGACATGAGGCTTGTCCCAGTATATCTTCAGACACTCCTGACACTCACAATTCAAGAATTTCTTTCTCACCTATTACCGTTCTGAAATGAATTGGACTTGTTTGAGGGTAGGAAATTTGTCCTTCGCTCAGATTTCTTCAGATTTCAAACTGTGCAAATGAACCACTTTTTTCTCTCGTCATAACTTTTTGTTGGATTTGCACAGAGACCTGAAAATTTCCATGATTGTTCACCAAAGCCTGCTGTCTCTTACGGTGAAAGAATGATATCGATACTCCAAACAGATTTCAAGTTACAAAGCGTTGTTTGAGGGCAAGTCAAGGCAGTTTTTGGTTCGCTCTACTCAGTTATGGTGCATTAGAAGTCAAATATCTTTAATAATTCATATTTTAATGATAAATTGTAAACACTGGAAGATTCCCCCATCTCTTCTGAACAAAACGGTGTAAGAATGACCGCTCTAGCCCCTACGGTTAGGAAATTATGGTCATTTGTTTGAGGGGAGTCGTCACTATGAGAAATAGACTGCAATAATCCTGTGCCTCTCTGTGCTGTGTGTGTAAAAAGGATGCACCTGTTTTGGCGGGAAAACGTAAACAGGCACTCTGATTGGTGGATTTAAATTCGGCAGCTCTCTCCCTCTGTGTGTGTGTGTGTGTGTGTGTGTGTGTGTGTGTGTGTGTGTGTGTGTGTGTGTGTGTGTGTGTGTTTAGTGGGAGAGAGAGGACCCTGCCCTTTTTTGGCAGCATGTCATTGTAGGATTTAAATTGAATATAGTTTGACTGGTTGACTGGATTAGAGTCTGTGTTTGTGTGTCCCTCTGTGCATTTGTGTTTCAATATGCCTCCATATTTGTAATTTTGTAAGTTATTACTATTCTGCTAAATCATAGTATTTCTGGTACTTTTCGGTACTTGTGCTAAATACAGTATTTCTGCTAAATCATACTATTTCTGCTTTTCATAAGATATGTGCCTAATATAGTATTTCTGCTAAATTATAGTATTTCTTTTTTTTATAGGGTTTGTGCCTAACATAGTATTTCTGCTAAATTATAGTATTTCTGCTTTTTATAGGATTTGTGCCTAATATAGTATTTCTGCTTTTTATAGGATTTGTACCTAATATAGTATTTCTGCTTTTAATAGGATTTGTGCTTAATATAGTATTTCTGCTAAATTATAGTATTTCTGCTTTTTATAGGATTTGTGCTAAAACATAATATTTCTACTAAATGTAGTATTTATGCTTAATCATACTATTTCTGCTTTTTATAGGATTTGTGCTTAATATAGTATTTCTGCTAAATTATAGTATTTCTGCTTTTTATAGGATTTGTGCTAAAACATAGTATTTCTACTAAATGTAGTATTTATGCTTAATCATAGTATTTCTATATATTTCTGCCAGGTCCCCAGGCAGCCAATCCTCTGTGAGGACTTAGACATTCAAATTTTCAAATCAGGGCCTGCACGGTTTCCCAGCCAATCACATATGTGTCCTGAGGCATTCAAATTTGCATATTGGGGCCTTCATGGCTTCTAAGCCAGCCAATCATATCTGAGGGCTGAGGAATTCAAATCCACAAATCAGGGCCTGCACAGCTTCCCAGCCAGCCAATCATGTATGTGGGCTCCAGGCATTCAAATTTGCATATTGGGGAATTCGTGGCTTCTAAGTCAACAAGTCATCCATGTCATATATCTCTAAAAATTCATATTTTAATGATAAATTGTCAACACTTGAAGATTCCCCCATCTCTTCTGAACAAAACGGTGTAAGAATGACCCTTCTAGCCCCTACAGTTAGGAAATTATGGTCATTTGTTTGAGGGGAGTCGTCACTATGAGAAATAGACTGCAATAATCCCGTGCCTCTCTGTGCTGCGTGTGTAAAAAGGATGCACCTGTTTTGGCGGGAAAACGTAAACAGCCACTCTGATTGGTGGATTTAAATTCGGCAGCTCTCTCCCTCTGTGTGTGTGTGTGTGTGTGTGTGTGTGTGTGTGTGTGCGTGTGTGTGTGTGTGTTTAGTGGGAGAGAGAGGACCCTGCCCTTATTTGGCAGCATGTCATTGTAGGATTTAAATTGAATATAGTTAGACTGGTTGACTGGATTAGAGCCTGTGTTTGTGTGTCCCTCTGTGCATTTGTGTTTCAATATGCCTCCATATTTGTAATTTTGTAAGTTATTACTATTCTGCTAAATCATAGTATTTCTGCTATTTTATAAGATTTGTGCAAAATATAGTATTTCTGCTAAATGTAGTATTTATGCTTAATCATACTATTTCTGCTTTTTATAGGATTTGTGCCTGATATAGTATTTCTGCTTTTTATAGGATTTGTGCTTAATATAGTATTTCTGCTAAATTATAGTATTTCTGCTTTTTATAGTATTTGTGCTAAAACATAGTATTTCTACTAAATGTAGTATTTATGCTTAATCATAGTATTTCTATATATTTCTGCCAGGTCCCCAGGCAGCCAATCCTCTGTGAAGACTGAGAAATTCAAATTTTCAAATCAGGGCCTGCACGGCTTCCCAGCCAATCATATATGTGTCCTGAGGCATTCAAATTTGCATATTGGGGCTTTCATGGCTTCTAAGCCAGCCAATCATATCTGAGGGCTGAGGAATTCAAATCCACAAATCAGGGCCTGCACGGCTTCCCAGCCAGCCAATCATATATGTGGCCTCAGCCATTCAAATTTGCATATTGGGGAATTCGTGGCTTCTAAGTCAATAAGTCATCCACGTCATATATCTCTAAAAATTCATATTTTAATGATAAATTGTCAACACTTGAAGATTCCCCCATCTCTTCTGAACAAAACGGTGTAAGAATGACCGCTCTAGCCCCTACAGTTAGGAAATTATGGTCATTTGTTTGAGGGGAGTCCTCACTATGAGAAATAGACTGCAATAATCCAGTGTCTCTCTCTGTGCTGCGTGTGTAAACAGAAGCACCTGTTTTGGCGGGAAAAAGTACACAGCCACTCTGATTGGTGGATTCAAATTCAGCAGCTCTCTCCCTTTGTGTGTGTGTGTGTGTGTGTGTGTGTGTGTGTGTGTGTGTGACAGAGAGAGAGAGAGAGAGAGAGAAAGCCTTTTAATGGGATGATCTCATTGTAAGATTCAAATTCAATATATTTAGACTGGTTGACTGAATTGGATCTTGTGTGTGTGTCTCTCTGTGCATGTGTGTTTCCTCATGTGTACATATTTGTAATTGTGTGGCTGTCATAAATTTTTTTGCAGATTTTTGTCATTTAACAAGTATATTTGAGGGAACCTCAGCATGTTCAGCATTTTTTCAGCTGTCCATTTTGCTTTTCCAATTTTTCTGTTTAACTTATTACTATTGTGCTAAATCATACTATTTCTGCTATTTTATAAGATTTGTGCTTAATATACTATTTCTGCTTTTATAGGATTTGTGCTTAATATAGTATTTCTGCTTTGTATAAGATTTGTGCTTAATATACTATTTCTGCTTTTATAGGATTTGTGCTTAATATAGTATTTCTGCTAAATTTAGTATTTCTGATTAATTATAGTCTTTCTACTAAATCATAGTACAGTATTTCTGCTTTTTATGGGATTTGTGCTAAAACAAAGTATTTCTACTAAATGTAGTATTTATGCTTAATCATACCATTTCTGCTTTTTTATAGGATTTGTGCTTAATATAGTATTTCTGCTACATTATAGTATTTCTGCCAAATTATAATATTTGTGCTAAAACATGGTCTTAATTTAAAATTACAATATTCATAGTTCATCACAGTGTCTCTGGTAAATCACAATATTTCTGCTCTGTTGTACTATTTTTCTAAATCATAGTGTTTCTGTAATGTTTAAGTATTTTTGGCTAAATATATTCTTTCTGTTATCTTATACTATTTCTCCTAAATTCTTGTATTTTTGAGAAGTTATCATGTTTCTGGTAAGTTACAATATTTCTGCTAAATTCTGCTATGCTATTGTATTTCTGCCAAGTATTATGTTTCCTCTAAGATATTGCAGTTCTGCTAAGTTATTCCATTTTAGCAAACTTCTTTTGCTTCTGCAAAGTTTTTACAATTTCTGCAACTTTTCAGCTTTTTAAGCTACCTTTTGCATACAGCTTCAGCTTTAAGCATCCACACTGCATTTTCGCAGGAAATGCAAATTTTTCTAGTTATTATTATTGTTTGTGAAGGTTCTCAGTCATCCAGGTCATCGTAGTCTAAGGAGCTTAGAAAGAAAAGTGTCTGGACTTCTTTAAGTTGCTTGAAGACGTTTCACCTCTCATCCGAGAAGCTTCTTGAAGACCATGGCATGAAGACCATCACTGGATTCAGGCCAACCAACAGCAGGGGAGCTGAGGGAGGTGAGAATAGAGCCAACGAGTTGAATCTGTTTTTCAATAGATTCAACACCACAGTGTCTGCTCACTCCCCCACAACCTCACCTGTAGTCAGCCTGGAACCCAGAGCCACACCACTGTGCCAGCCTCTCTCTTCACATGGCGCTGTTGCCTCCTGTGAGATTCCTGACACCCCTCCCCCACCCATCACCTTCACTCAATACCAGGTAGAGATGCAAATGAGGAGACTTCACTCAGGCAAGTCTGCTGGACCAGACGGAGTGAGTCCCCTTGTCCTCAAGGCCTGTGCCCCCCAGCTGTGTGGAGTCTTTCATAAACTGTTTATGCTGAGTCTGAGTCTGCAGAGGGTCCCGGTGATGTGGAAGACATCATGCCTCGTCCCTGTACCAAAGACGCCACGTCCCAGTGGCCCCCAGGATTACAGGCCCGTGGCACTGACCTCCCACATCATGAAGACCCTGGAAAGGCTCATCCTGGACCAGCTGCGACCCATAGTAAGACCACATCTGGATCCCCTTCAGTTCGCTTATCAGCCTCGTCTCGGAACTGAGGACGCCATCATCTACCTGCTCAATCGTGTCTACACCCATCTGGACCAGCCGGCGAGCACTGTGAGGGTCATGTTTTTTGACTTTTCCAGTGCTTTCAACACCATCAGGCCGACCCTCCTGGGTGATAAGTTAGCAGCGATGCAGGTGGATGCTTCTCTGGTGTCCTGGATTGTTGATTACCTGACAGGAAGACCACAATATGTACGTCTCCCACAGTGTGTGTCTGACAAGGTGATCAGCCACACAGGGGCACCACAGGGGACTGTCCTCTCCCCCTTCCTCTTCACCCTCTACACCACAGACTTCAGCCACTGCACAGAGACCTGCCATCTTCAGAAGTTTTCTGATGACTCTGCGGTGGTTGATGCATCAGCAGGGATGCTGAGACAGAGTACCGGGCTGTGATCGACTCCTTTGTCACGTGGTGTGAGCAGAATCATCTGCCAAGGAACTGATCGTGGACTTCAGGAAGACCAGGAAACACTTGACCCCTGTTTCAATCCAGGGGGTCAGTGTTGACATTGTGGAGGACTATAAATACCTTGGAGTACACATTGACAATAAACTGGACTGGGCTAAAAACACCACAGCACTTTACAGGAAGGGCCAGAGTCGTCTCTATTTTTTGAGGCGACTGAGGTCCTTCAACATCTGCCAGAAAATGCTGAGGATTTTCTATGAGTCTGTTGTGGCCAGTGCGATCCTCTATGCTGTTGCATGCTGGGGGAGCAGGCTGAGGGTCGCAGATGCCAACAGACTTAATAAACTGATCCGTAAGGCCAGCAATGTTGTGGGGATGGAGCTGGACTCCCTCAAGGTGGTGTCGGAGAGGCGGATGCTGTCCAAGATAAAGACAATGTTGGATAACACCTCCCACCCACTCCATGACATGTTGGTCAGTCACAGGAGCTCGTTCAGTGAGAGACTGAGATTACCGAAAAGCACCACTGAACGACACAGGAAATCTTTCCTGCCTGTGGCTCCCTGTACAACGCATCCACTTAACACACTGTTTGCTGCTACAGCTACACATGTTTCTTTTCCAACTATTTATTTATGAGTGACTTATGTATGTATGTATGTATATATATGTATATATTGTACTATTCTTAGTTAGTGTATTGTCTGTCTTGTCTTAATGTTGGTTTAAAATGGAGCACTGTAACAAAAAATAATTTCCCCCAGGGATCAATAAAGTATTCTGATTCTGATTCTGATTCTTCAGTTCTAGGATCAAATGGTGGAGAGTCCCAGATTTAAACCCAGTGGGAGTTTCCCCCCAAAGACGGACGAAGGACCCCCTGATGATCCTCTACCTAATCACATGAGCCAAGGTGTGAAAACGGGTGTGGGTCACAATCAGCCAGGGTTTCAGGTGAGCTCAATGTGAAACCTGGCCCCACCCTATCATGTGATTTCCTGAGGTCAGACGCCCCAGGATGTGAGTGGGCGTTAAGGCGTCTGGGAAGGATCTCAGAACTGGATTATAGATGGCAGAGAGTTGGTGTCATAAGCCGTGTGTACATTGGCATCCTTGAGGATGCCAATGTACACACGGACAGACAGGACAGATGGTTTGAAAGAGGAGTGAAAGAAGCCATTTCTGTCCACTGTGAGCGACCATCTTTGAACAGTGGCGGTGGTTTACGACACCAACTGTCTGCCATCTATAATCCAGTGTTGAGATCCTTCCCAGATGCCTTAACTCACATGCTTTTCTTTCCAAGCTCCTTAGACCACTATTATTATTATTCAGGCAAATGAATCACTTTTTTGAGGACACACATATAACTGAGAATTGGATAAGAAGGGCCTCTGCCTTTGACCACCACTCAGTACATGTTAAACCCACCCACTGCACTGCCCCCTGCAGGTGGTGGGCCTACAGGACGATGGGCCCGAGCCACCCAAAGAGCTATCCAGTCTAATTGATTACATTATGATTGTCATTCTGCATCTTACTGAATAAAAGCTGAGCTCTGCACAGAGAGGATGAGGGACAATGCTCGCTTTGTGGATCAGTGCAGACAGATGTTCATCCAGTTGTTTTTCTAATACAAAGAGGAAATAAAAGAAATAGAAATAGTTTTTTAACTACTCATTTTCTCATTTCAAATCTTTCTGTTGACATTATGAACATATGTTGAGAACAAGTTTTGGTATTTTTAACTATTTACTTACTTGTTGGCTCTGAGCTGCTGTCTGACAGCTGCTGAGTCAGATCCGTCATCTTCATCTCCTTTAAAACCTCCATGGTTTTCTTTACTGACTGTTGGCCATAAGCCTGTAACATTAAAAACACTGTGTCCTGCGGGTCTGCCACCTTCAGCAACCTCCATGGGACGGCTGAGTTATATTTCCTCTTGAGGCCTTTCTTTAAGTCCATGAGCTCGCTGTCACTCAGATTCCCCAGTGTCTCTGAAAGCAGCTGAATGAGAGACTCCATCGTTTCTACCTGGCAAAAACAGAGGTCACATGACAGACATGTGCAATTCAAATGGTTGTTCCACCTCTGATTAACAGAAAATTGTTCAGTTTGTTAAAGGAAGATTCATTTTCAACATGATACTTTTCAAAGCCCGAAAATACAACTTTTCACCTCTGACCCATTTTCAGGCATGAAAGTTGTCTTTTATACTGCCATGACTGAATTTTTGCAATCCTTCTTATCCACTGCAGACCTATTGCAACTATTATATCATGATGAGATGCTGTGGGTGAGGACACGTTCAAGTGCAGCAGTAGAGATACCACAATGTTTGGAGCAGGGGCGATTTTAGCCCATTTTCGGGGGTGCTGAATGAATCAAAGCACCCCCAAAGATTTCTTACTTTTTTTGACAATATTTGCTGTTTGTGTGACACACTGCTAAAAATATAAAAAGCATACAGTACTTGGTTGAGACATAACATTTTAACAACAAAAGTATAGATAACCCCTCCCCCTCCCAAAATGGTTTGTTCCAGCTCCCCCCTCCTCTGGCTCTGGCGCTCTTGCTGCCAGAGCGATGGTGGCTGAGACGCAGGGGAGTGGAGGTGTAAGTGCCTGGCTTAAAACAGGACATATTAGCTGCATTTAACCTTCAGTTGCTCTTTATATAGTTAGGTAGGAGTCAGGCCATGTTTCTTTTTAGCTGAAAAACATTACACCAGGCAAGGGCGTAGATTTGGTTTTGGCATTGGTGGGGACGGATGATTCAACCACCGAACCCTGCCCTGTTTCTTTTTTTCCCCCTTTTTGTCTTTGCTTCTTGATAAAAGGAGAAGTATACTTGCCTACATATGCTATTCTACATGCTTTTAAACTATTTAAAATCACAACTCATAGTTTTATATGTGAATGATATAATGTTAAATTACTATTAAACAAATGACTGACTAAGTATTTCAGGCTTTAGTTCAGCCATAATCCATATAAATCAGGTATCATACAAAAATAAAAACAGCTTCAAATACAGTTATGACAATAAAAGAATATGACTTTAAGGACTTAACAACATTACTTCAGTTATAGCACACCAACATCTCTGACACATTAGCACTAAGGGAACACTGAATGACCTGCTGGTTTTTGTCCATAAAACTACTCATCTCAGATTACCACAAAGTAAAAGATCTCTCAGCAAAATTATGCAACATTTTAGTCACTATTGCCCCGATCAAGTCAGTGAGCTGAGATTTTCTATTCTAAACATGAACTACTGTTACAGCAACATGGACTACTGGTGTCCCACACAACTCAATGTCCACTGTGTGAAGCAGCCAAACACATGCCTGCTCCTCTCGTTAACTGAGATAAACTGCTGGCATGTTGGTTTTACATCTATACTGTCCAGTCTCTCCTGGTGGACACACAGCAGCATTGTTTAATCTCATTTGAGTCATTGTTGACCGTAGCCAACTTTTTAGTCCTCTGAGAGCACTGAAGCTTCTTTCAGCCTCAGTACCTGCGTTCTATCCTCAGATTAAAATTATTATTAAGTGCCTGATGTGCCTCATGTTTGGCCCTGGCTCTTCCCCTCTGACTGCACTAGGACATATTGCCACCTGATAAAATAACACACTGATTCGTGCCATATAAAACGTGAGACGTGTCAATTCAGATTCTTTGTCAAATACACTAATGAATCAATTTACATCAGCAGCCTAACAATTGTCATGATAATAAATACTATTTCATCTACAGCACCAAATCATCAGTCAGTCACCTGTGAGCTCACCTCTCCACCTCTGTCTGAGCTACAACATGGCAGAGCTGCCTCTGTCACCTGATCAATAACAGTGAGACATTCCACATACATGCAGTCACACATGTGCTTCAAATACAGTCATGAACCAACAAGTCATCAAATTTCACCTGTGATCTTGTATCACCATTGCTCTCTGAGCTTTGTGTTGGTTCTGCTGTCACCTGACAAATAGGACATACATGACAATAAGAATAAAATGTGGAGCTGCTTCAGTGTTTCTGTGACTTTGTGCAGATCTTGACTCATCAGTAATGTTTGTAGGCTGAGTGCATTTTTAAAACAATGTGTGCAAACTGCACTACAAGGTGGATATTTGCAAAAGCATGACTTCCTCATGACATTTTGTCTCAAAAATTAACCCTATGAATACGTCAGTGCCATTAGGATGAAATTATTGTGTCACCAACATTTTAACGTTAGACATATAATTCTAACAGCCTCTGTAAACTAATACTGTTCGAGGCTGCCGTTTTCTCTGACAGTTTCAATCAAAATTAGAAATGCTGCTCTGAGACTGAGAGAACTAATAGTGCTGCCTGTTGTGCAGTTAGTTTCCAAAACACGTTATTCATGGTTACATACAATTTTAGACTGATGTGGGCCAAAGCCTAGCACAGCCTGTAACGTTATTATGACGGACACATTTTATGAGTTAATTTGGCTTTAAGTGACTTACAGGTTTCTTTGAAAAATACTTTCTTATATCCAGGTTCTTCCTTTTTGCTGCCATCCTCGTCTCCTCCTCGCAGCGCAGGCTTGCAGCTGCTAAAACTAAACAGAGCTCCCTGAAAGGCTCAGCCAATCACATTGGCCGTATTTGTCACATGAGGTAGGACTCCAATAGAGAACGTAATTTAACTCTTTCTGCACCGCTGGGTGAATGAGACGTTGACAGATCTTTTTTTTTCTTTTCTTTCTATCGGGTTTGATTTTCTTTACTCGAATAGATCAAATTATTGGTGGGGACATGTCCCTTCCGTCCATGCCAAATCTACGCCCTTGCTCCTTAGACTATCTGGGATAATAAATTTCATATTGCATGCATATATGTCTACCAATTAAATCTGGCCTGAGGTCTGCCATGTTTTAAATTCAGTTATTTCTCTCAGAAATTTGAGATCAAAATTACGACTGTGTTACCTTTATACTGTCACTAGTTAGTGCAAATAGCTCAATGGGACATAGAAACCTTTAAATTAAATTCCATCACCTGATATATATTCTCAAATAATATCAAAGCTTTGAAAGCTGTTTACGGTCAGAATTTTTTGAAAACTGTAATTGTAAATAAATTCAAACAATTGAGCTTCTCTCTCTGTGTTAAATATAATTCCCCAAAGCAATGATAACTTCATTGTATCCACAGAAGGGAGTTCCAAGCTCGAGTGAATAAATAACTACTTGATATCTTCAGTGGCACAGGAGACGAGTGGACATCATATTTCTTGCAATGATGCAATAAATGACTTTGCCTCTAGAAAAACTAGAAAACAGGTTCAAAGAAGAGGGAGGAGAAAAGTAGAGTTATGTTTGATTCCTAAACCGTGTTTGATATCTTGTTTTGGGAAGCTCAGGTAGATATTATTGGCTCATCATTCAAACCCTTTTTACTGCAGACAGGCACAGTGCAATACTCATTACACTAGAATTTAAAATCTGACATTTTACTTGATGCCAGAGGAGAGTCCTGAGGGTCGTTTTACATTTTAAAAAAATGCAAATTTAAAAATATGTACAGTTTGAATATAGATACAGTCACCTATATAACAAATTCAAATCAGCTGCAACAAAAGGCTAATACACACATTAATGAATCAGTAATTAAGGCCAGTGACATCATGTAAATGATCCTGATTTCATTTTAGGTACTTTAGGTGAAGTCTGATGCTCAAAGCTTTGCAGATTAATTACAAAGTAAGTTGATTGAGGAGGATCGTGACTTTATTTGTTTAGCCAGTTTCAAAGGTCAATTTATTAAATTCTTTTAATTCTTCGAGTTTAATTCTGGTTTATTTTTAAGGACAATAAATGTTTGCTATATATGTTTTACTTTATAGAAGATAATGAAATCTGAAAATAAATTTATGACAGTTTGAGTCATGGATAAAAACATGGCTGATGACATCGTCAGTTCATCTTTAAGTGATACAATTTACATTTTTAATATAAAAAAATTTAAATATCCAAAGTGTTTCATGTAAAATGGATCAATTAAAGGAGAGTCACTGAGGAGCAAAGGCACCACATAGCAGAACAATTTTCCACAAAGAAAAGACATCTCCACCTTTTTAATGTAAACATGTTATGTTCAGGTAGATCGTGTACGTTTGGTCTAAAAATGTGGTTTTTTCCCAACACATTTACTTCTTTGAAAGGTCTTCAACGAGAAATTTCTCATTTGCCAAAAGGCTTTCATAGAAGATGTCTTTGCAGGCTGCACTGGCTTTCAGGGGACCACTGTAGAGCTCCCTCATCCTGTCCTGAGAGGTAGGCAGAGCTCTAATTTTGTCATATTGTTCTTGGTCGATAACTTCCTTGTATTGGAGCTCATCCAAAATGGGTGCGATGTTGCTCACTCTCTGGATCAGCTGGACTCTGTGTTTGTCCACAAAATGCTTTCCTGGAGAAAAAAGGAAAGAAATGACAATAAAAGTTTACGGTTGTTTATCATGTGAAAATTTTATTAGCTTTATTCTCAGCTTTCATAACAAAATGCTTTAAAAAAATCACACTTATTTCATAATTAAAATTAATTAAATGTTAAAAATAGAACATAAATGATGTCTGTAGGAGCCATATGAGTTGTTCCTTTTTGACTAAGTGGGTTGGTTTAAATGGACTCACTGTATTGGTGCACAGGCGTGTGGGGCGTGTTTCATGGGTGTGGTAGATGATAAATGTGGTTGCACTCACCTGTTTACAGCACCTGATGTTGATGAGCAGAAAGGTAAGGTGAGCATGAGGCAAAACTTTCTGTTGACCGCAGCTTGAATGATTTTGATGTATTTTAACTGGAACTTGATGGTTTATGTATATTTATGCACTAATTGATGCCATAGGCCAAGTTGTAGTTTGGTATAGTAGTTAGTGCAGTTCTTTGTGAGTAGCAGTTATTTGTTTGTGCAGTCTGTGCATTTGTTTAATAGTTAATCCCACGTGCTGATTTGTATATTGGACAGCTGCATGTGGAATAAAAGAAGCAAATGGTACAGAAGTGTATTTTATGCTTTTATTGTTGCGCGTCATCTGTATCCTCATGTTTAGCCTGCCGCGGCCATAGTTGGAAGAGCCACAACAAATTGTCAACAGAAAAGTTTATAGGTTTTATTGGATTGTTTATATATAGATGAGTTTTATTGGTGAGAGTCTTATGGTTTGCTGTTGCCTTTGTCCACGCAGCTTTTAGATTAAGCCTTTGGCTACACAATACAGATTTCTTTCAGGAGTCTTATTCCCCTGTTAGGTTTCAGCAGTACAGCTGCACAAGGCGTTGTACTGATTTGCTTTCTAGTTATTGTGCATCAGGCGGCTGAAGCCATTGGCTTGGGAGTACCGCCGCAGTTTGTGTTTAAGACAGTTTGTCTTCCTCACAGCTGACGGTATGGAGGTACATAAATACCCACCGCTAGTATGTACAGAAGACTAGGTTGAGTTAGTTAGGTTTAATAGGCAGATAGAGGGGGATATTGCTCCTGTTAATTGTGTGTGTCCAAGGTTGATTGAAGGGAATGTCATCAAGTTGATGTGTTGGGATGAGGCTGTGTGGCATAGGTGCAGTTCAGCGTTTGGATTTTGTAATGTTTTGAAGAAAAATGGATACACACCAATTAATACAATGTGGTGATGTGGATGGAAAAAAAAGACAGCCGAAACTGACTGCTAAGGCTTTGGAGAATCAGATTGAAAGGCTTCAGACAGAACGTCACACTAAGATTAATAAAATTAAAAAGGTTGTAAAAATTATTAAAGAGTTAAAGCAATCTGAGGATAATGTTTCCACTGTTCAGGCTCAGTTAGAGAATTTGTCTGTGTTGCTTAATGAGGCAACTCGTCTGCATGAAACCTTGCTTCCTTTGCTTCCTCAAGAAGAGCAAGAGAAACAAACTGCTTGGTTTATAAGTGTGAAAGCACATAATACTGAGTTTGTGGAAGAGATAAAGAAATGGCTTCGTGATGCAAAGGGAAACCCTCAGAGTAAAAATCAGGTGTCTGAGCTTGATTTGCCACATTTAAATCCACCTGGTGTTGAGTCTTCTGATGTATTACCTGCTGGAAATGGTTCTGGTGCTTCTAGGCACACCGGGAATGTTGGTAAAGGTGCTGCGATAGATGATGTTAATCCAAGTGATAGCGTCTCTAATGTTGCAAGCAGAAGTTGTAGGAAAAGTAAATCATCACTCAGTGGCTCAATGGTTTCATCTGCCTTGTCAGCACGCATAATGGCAGAAGCTGACATGGCTGCCCTTCTTGTTCGACAGAGGTTGTTGAAAGAAAAGCATGCTTTGGAAGAACAAGAAACACAGCTTAAGAAAAGAAAGGAGCTGCTTGACTTAGAAACTGAAATAGCAGCTTCAGCAGCAGAGGTGAATGTTTTAAAAGTTTCTGAAATGTCCCGAGTCTCAAGTGCGGTTAATGGTAAATCTGATGGAATGAATTCGTATTTAGAACGAGAGCAGGGGCGTTTGGGCGTTTTAAATCCTAACGCTCCTACGTTCAAACCTGTTACCAGAGCCCCAGGCCCACCAGAGGTGTACGAAGACCCCGAACCTCCCTCCACCCGCTCATGTGTAGTGTTGCTGTGTCCTGTTCTAAAGTGCTTTTAAAACATGGCAGGGCATGGCTTCCTGCCAGAGAGCAGCGAGTGTCAGCACGGCCCCTCTTGAGAACCCTCAATGTTTACATGCATTTAAAATTCAGAGGTGGCGCCAGAGGTGAGGCTGGACGCTGTATAGTGTGTCCACCCCCACAGCCCTATATGTATGTGTGAGTAATGTGGATGTCTAAGTTGTGGAATAACATTTTATGGCCCGCAAGATCATTTTATATAGATTTATTATTATTGTTATGCATGCCCCGGCGATATGGGGTCCTCAGGGACTAGTAAAGCGCTATACAAATACAGGCCATTTACCAATTCAGCAGACGTTTGTCACCAGAGCAAAGCCACAAACTGAAGCTGTTGTGAAAGCAAGTTCTATTGTAGCAGAGGAGCCAAATCAGCTCGGCCATTTACCGAGGGAGAGTTTCTGAAGAGCTGCATGATGAAGCTGTGCAACGTCTTGTGTCCAGACAAAACGCAGATCTTGGCAAATGTGAGCCTGAGCAGAAATACGATTGCTGATCGGGTTGGTGAGATGCCCACTGATTTAAGAACACAGTTGTGTGAAAGAAGCAAAACCTTCATTGCATACTCTCTTGCTGTGGATGAAAGTACAGACATGATGGACATTGCACAGCTGACCATCTTCATCCGTGGAGTGTAAATATTGAACATTAAATCAATGCACGGGACAACGACAGGAAAAGACATGTTTGAAAAGGTATTTCAAAGTGTAACCGACATGAAACTGCCCTGGGACAACAGATGGAGCGCTGGTGTTGTGCAGGATGTAGGATCTAGTAAAGATGCAGGAGAACTGTACCGGTGAGTTAACAGCACATCACTGCATCACTCACCAGGAAAGGCTGTGTGGTAAAGTCCTAAAAATGGAGCATGTAATGATCACCGTAACACAGACCGTAAATTTGATCTGAGCTAAAGGTTTAAATCAGCGTCGATTTCAGTCTTTTATGTGGGAAATAGATTCAGAGTTTGCCAACATTCCTCATCATACAGAGGTCCGCTGGCTGAGTTGGGGAAAGTTCTCAACAGAGTTTGAGCTCAGCAAGGAAACCTGTCAGTTCATGGCATGTATGATGCGGTGGAGGCATTTCAAGTGAAGCTGTCACAAATGCACCAGTGCAACCTGCCTCACTTTCCCTGTTGCCGAGTAATGTTGAACAAAGTCGGCGCACTTTGCTCGTCTACATGCGGCTCCAACCTTGTTTGCTTTCATTTATTTTTTCTGGGTTTTTTGGCAGCATGTTCATATTTCTAATTTGCATAATTTTGACAGGATATATTTCTATGGAGAGCAAAATATAAAATAAATAAAATACAAAGTTAAAGTTTATTTTTTTAAGTGCATTTATTCTGGAATAATTATTAACAACAGAGTAAACGTTCGTAGCCTGTATGATGTCACCAGGTGCAAATTATAACCAGTGTTTTAAATCCGCCCACTATGATATTAAAGCATAAAACAAAGAGTCTGATATTTCTTATGTTTATATCAGAAACATAATGTCAGCATTTCCTTTTTGTAAATACTTTCACTGTAGAACACAAAATGGATTTCAGCAAACGTCCTTTCAGCAGAGGTCATTAAGAAGGAGTCTCTCGTGTGTCTGAAGGATTTGGTAGAAGACATCTTTGGAGGCATTTTAGGTACTTTAGGTGAAGTCTGATGCTCAAAGCTTTGCAGATTAATTACAAAGTAAGTTGATTGAGGAGGATCGTGACTTTATTTGTTTAGCCAGTTTCAAAGGTCAATTTATTAAATTCTTTTAATTCTTCGAGTTTAATTCTGGTTTATTTTTAAGGACAATAAATGTTTGCTATATATGTTTTACTTTATAGAAGATAATGAAATCTGAAAATAAATTTATGACAGTTTGAGTCATGGATAAAAACATGGCTGATGACATCGTCAGTTCATCTTTAAGTGATACAATTTACATTTTTAATATAAAAATTTTTAAATATCCAAAGTGTTTCATGTAAAATGGATCAATTAAAGGAGAGTCACTGAGGAGCAAAGGCACCACATAGCAGAACAATTTTCCACAAAGAAAAGACATCTCCACCTTTTTAATGTAAACATGTTATGTTCAGGTAGATCGTGTACGTTTGGTCTAAAAATGTGTTTTTTCCCAACACATTTACTTCTTTGAAAGGTCTTCAACGAAAAAATTTCTCATTTGCCAAAAGGCTTTCATAGAAGATGTCTTTGCAGGCTGCACTGGCTTTCAGGGGACCACTGTAGAGCTCCCTCATCCTGCCCTGAGAGGTAGGCAGAGCTCTAAATTTGTCATATTGTTCTTGGTCGATAACTTCCTTGTATTGGAGCTCATCCAGAATCTGCTCGATGTTGCTCACTCTCTGGATCAGCTCCACTCTGTGTTTATCCACAAAGTGGTTTTCTGAGGAAAGATTGCAGAGATTCATCACATATGTTGATAATCAAAGACTAAATCCATGCATAGCTTACATCCTCTGTTACTTATTTCCAAACAGAACTCACTGATATGTGTTAAACATTAAAGACTGATTCATTGTTGTGCTTCTTTTTACTTTGTACATAATCAAATCTAACTCGGTATCTTTCTGCTTTTTTCCCTCTTCACCCTCAAACCAGTCAAACAGATGTCTGCCTCTGCCTGAGTCTGTTTCTTTCTTCCCCTCTCTGACACCGTCTGATTATTGGATGCCAATATTCAGCACTAATGTTGTCATACCAAAGGGAACCCACCACAGCCAAATACAAAGTGCAGTTCTTTTTATACACAAATCATGTGAAACATCTAACCTTGTACTTTACCACTTCTTTGGTTTTCATCTGAAAGTGAAAAATGAACCAGTGAAAATAGAGAAACACCGTATTTACTGGGCTGATCTACCAGTAGGCGTTAGCTTTAATAATAACTGTCAAGTGTTCTCCGACTGTGAGGTGCCCACACTTGAAAAAGACCAGACTTTGAATTTCACTCAACTTTATTTTGACCAGGTAGATAGGTAGGTAGCAGCAGGTAAAAAACCTTTCAACACAAAAATAAAGAACATTTCATTAACCATTCAGATAAATTACACAGAAGACAGATGAAATAACAAAATACACTTCAGTAAAGCCATTTACCATGTGGTTAACTGTTAATTTAACTGTGGTTCTTAAATATACAAAATGTGTCTTCTTTGCATTTAACACTTTTATAAACAATTGTATTTTAAAGTATACATTTTAGAGTTTACAAACATTTTAATAGAGACTTTAAGGATTTTCTTTACAAAGAATTATTTTCTTTAAATCAAAATCAAACATTTATTCACTAGTTTTACAATCCACCCAAGGATTTGGGGGTAACTATTTTTAATATTAAGTAACATAAATATGTGGGAACACTAACTGCACAAACAATTTATTCAAACTTAAGCATTCTTTTTTGTCAATATAATTTCTTTAAACTTAAATGCAGCAACTATTTCCCTAAGCATAAAACATTTGCACAACTGAGCTTCCATAGTTCCAAATATATGTGCAGCAAATGTGAGCTCAAGAGCTTACCGATAGCCCGTCTTGTTCAAAGTCTTCCTCACAGTGGAAAAGTGGATCGTACTTTGTTTGCTGTCCTCTCAGTATGTCGCACATGGGTCAAATGACTGCTGCATGCATTTTAAGGTCTACTAGGCATGCCCACCCTTGATTGCTCTAATGTGGCTCACCTGGCAGGGCGGCGCACACCAGGCCGCGCTTAGTTGTTGATTGCACCCAAGGTCTAAACAGCGGCCATGCGCAAGCAGCAGCACCGAACAGGTAGAGGGCAGGAGGAGGAAGAGAGGAATAACAGCCACACCTACTAGGTCAGCACTGTCGTTAGCTGAATACAGCCACAGATGATGTCGTCTTCACTGCCCTGCACTCTCTCTTCATACATGTGAAATATAACAAACTCTCTCTCAGCAGGCTGTTTGTGAAGCTGACTGGCAGACTCGTCAGAATCAGAATCAGAAAGGGTTTTATTGCCAAATGTTGAGCAGGTTTACAACATTAGGAAATTGCTGCGGTGCTTCAGTGCAAACATACTGTCATAAAAATATAAGAATAAGAATTAAAAGTGCTAAGTAGATAGATATATACATGATATATACATGAGTGCAGGTGGTGATCAGTGCCAAACATGGAATGATGCAGTGAACACAGCGTAGGGTCATGTGTTAGTGGAGGGAACAGTCATACGGTTATTGTTCATGTGTCCAACAGCAGAGGGGAAGAAACTGTTCTTATGGCGAGAGGTTCTGGTGCGAATGGACCGGAGCCTCCTGCCTGAGGGGAGCAGGTCAAACAGACTGTGTCCAGGGTGAGAAGGGTCAGCTGAGATCCGAGCTGCACGCCCCAGTGTCCTGGAGGTGTACAGGTCCTGCAGAGATGGGAGTCTGCAGCCAATCACCTTCTCAGCAGAGCGCACAACACGCTGCAGTCTCTGTTTGTCTCTGATAGTGGCTCCAGCGTACCACATGGTACCACACTCTGGTCTTCAGGAACACATTGTGCAACTGGATACTGGACTTCCTGTCAAACAGGCTGCTGTTCAGACTGGTAATCACGGCTCCTCCCCTCTAGGGCCACACTGGAGGCCCCCAGGGTCATGCACTCAGCACCCTCCTGTTCATGTTGAACAGCCATGACTGCTCTCACAGACATGGAGAGAATATCTTCATGAAGTTAGAGGACAACACCACCATCATCATTCTGTTGGAGGAGATCAGCCGTGCACAGCTGTGCAGTTTGGTGCAAAGACAACAACTCACTGCTCAGTGTCAACACATGTTGGAGCTAATGGTCAGACAGCAGGAGAGTTTACTTCATGGTGAGAATACATCAGTTACATACTTCACCATGAACAGGTGTTTATTTTATATCTGACTTATTCTTCATTCACATTTTAGTTACCAGCATAAAGAGATCACAGGAACATTTGCCATCTGTGTTGCATAATGATCACTAAAATAAACCTTCAAAGTGAACGTGGTACAGTGATGATACAGTTTTGTAGACGTGCTTAAATCTTACCTTTTCTAACAGTGCGGGTCCAAACTGACTGAAGCTCTTTCTGGCGTCAGTCTGAGCTGGAAGTCACTGTCTGGATTCTTCATGTACACTTCAAAGAAATTTGGAGTTCTGCTTTCATATCTGAGCTTTAACGCCTGTTAAAGAATGAAAAGATAAAGTCAGGAAGAACCTGTAAGATATTTTTCCACTGAGGGAGAGAAATCTGATGATTATTCATTCATATAATTTAAACAGACTAATATATTTACTGACCTTACACAGATTTATAAATTGTTTTGGGATCAAATGAGCAGTAAATAAATTCAACATACCTGAGGACAGATTTCTGCACCATCCAAATCTGCTCTTAGGGTGAAACAATGAAACATTTTCAAGGACTTTTCTGGATGCGGCTTTCGGATGATTTTGTATCCACAGGATTCTTCTCTCCGGTCCATCGTCTACAGAGCGAGAGAATATATATGTTTATATGTGTGTGTGTAAAGATGCTACAGGGATCCAATATTGTAATATTACTGTCTGCTGATTTATTTGTTGCACATTGTCCATCTTATACTGTGAAACATGTAATAACCTGCTGTAGCCCAGGATCACGTGGGATCAGATAAACATGCAGTGTGAGGAAAGCTGTGTTGGTCTGATATATCAACACGTTACAGTTGATTGTCACAGGAACGCCCACTTTCATCAGGAGCGCTCTTGGAGAGAAAATCAGACACTTTTTCCACAACATCTCCACAGTCATCTATGTGAAGGACTGCAAACTTGTCCAATATGTCAGGGACGTCATCTGCACAAGAAAACTTGAATCGTAAATGTAATTTATTGTTAAATAATAATGTCTTCATGTCCTCTTACTGATGCAGATCCAGTGTGGCAGGTGAACTTCATTTAACTTCCCAGCAGTGACTGTGACGTCCATCAGAGGACCTGCAGGCATGTATTGTCTGCTCTCCATCCTCTCCATGTGTCCGTTTTTTACATATTTATTTGTTTTTGACTTTATTTGGTTCCTGAGGTGATACCTGATCATCTCTGCACCAGATTCTGCTCATCTTCATTAAAGCCTTTCTGGTCACCTCCACACACTCTCGGCTGTACTTCTCCATCATCACATTCACTACATCCTGAGTGTTTGCTGCTTTCAGTTTGCTACTTGAGATGACGAGTGAATCTTTCTGCTATTCAATCAGTGACTTGAATTCATCCAAGTGAGCAGCTTCTCAGTCGTCATAGTTACCACCTGGAAAATGAAAAAGTCATTTTGTACCTGCAGGACTGAAGCAGCCTGTCACTTCTTATGCAGGAGGTGCAGGGCCAGCGATGGTGACACAGCAGATCCTGACACGTATCTACACAACTACATGGATGTTTGCTCCTTCATGTTGAAATTAGCGTCACATGTTTAAATATAGTCTTTAAATGATTTTGAGCAACCTTTGAATGAAAGATGTCCAACATCACACATCACAGGTTACATTTTCATATCGTCAGTTATTTCCACCTGCATTTTGTTCCTATGAAGTTACAGCTGAATAATTCAGTTTGTCTTTTAAAGGTAAACTATAAAACTTGCTAAGGTTACAGGTTTCCATAATTTCCTTCAGGATTAATAAAGTATTTCTGATTCTGATTTATTATCTATTAAGGACAAAACGGGGGGGTTACCACTGTCCCGGGTTCGACTCCACCACCAGACCTTTGTGTGTGGAGTCTGTATGTTCTCTCTGTGTTTGTTGGGTTCTCTCCGAGTACTTCAGCTTCCTCCCACAGTCCAAAGACATGCAGTTAGTGTGGTTTAGTTAACTGGTGATTCTAACCTGCCCATAGGTGTGAATGGTTGTCTGTCTCTCTGTAGTAGACTGCCGTCCAGGGTGTACCCCGCCTCTCGCCCTGTGGTAGCTGGGATAGGCTAATAAGGATAATGGATGGGTGGAAAATGTAAACTGGGTTAAATGATTAAGATAAACCTCACTGACACTTGTTCTTCGTGCTGCTGGATTAAAATGGAGTTGATGGAGTCGACGCTGATCAGCCTTTGTAGAACTGAACGCTCCAGAAAGGCTGGAGTTTAAATGAACCAACGAACCAGAAAACAAGGGTAAAAAGGAGTCTTTAATAACAATTAAACCATATAAAAATTTGTACGTACAAGTCAAAATATAAGGACACATTTAGGAACAGTCTGAGTTTCTTCCTTAGACGAATAAAGTCCTCAGAGTCAGGAAACATCCAGTTCTGTGTAAATAAAGCCGTCCGATCCCGGTCTGACATTTCTGATGTTTGTAACGTTTCTTATTGACTGCTTCCATCATTTTAATGTACTTTTAGTCATTCATTTAACTATTCCTCATTCTTACTGTTATTTATGTGTTGATCTTTCTCATTTTGTGATATTTCAGTTTGACTGACTGATGCTGCAAATCAAAATGATCCTGTAGGAAAATAAAGACTGACCTGAACATCTCATCTCTTAAAATACAAAAGCACAGCAATCATCTTACTGAGTGATCTTCATTGTACATTGTTTCATTGTTTTTAGGCCGCTTCATTCCAGCAAAAGTTTCACCGTATAAACATGAAAGACGTGTTTTTACAGATTTTAAAATGTTAAAAAATGAACGAGTTTCTGACAGCAAATAGTTAATAGACACCAATGTTGCTCCCTGATGTATCCGAAAAAATATTTTATTGATAAAGAACAATTGTATTTATGTTTCTATATTTAGTAGAAAGCCAATATAAAATGTTTAGTGACGTGCTTAAAAGGGAATTAAAAAAAACAAAACAATGATTAAAGCAGGATATTAAAGATTAAAAAGTATAAAATTCTCCAGTTTATCTTCAAAGCAGTCGTCAAAACTTCTTAAAATGTGAGAAACATGGCAGTAACAGATGCAGGTCATGATGTTCCTCAGTAACTTCTAACCTTGGAAACTTTTCTCATTCAGGCTTCACTCCAAACCAGACTGAGCATCGACCACAAGAACAAAAGACAGAAGATAACAGAGTTCATATGGTGTTAATGTAAAATTATTCTGGAAGACTTTTCTTTATGTGGCACATTTATACTGTGACATGGATTTATCGTCTTCAACAAAATGAGAATCATAAAGCTGTTCATGATATTTTTGTATGTAATTATACATATAATGCTCATTTTCAGGTTAATATTTTTAATTTTGGACTGTACTCGAGTAGCTTTGTCTGAGTCACAGTTCAAAATCATCCTCATTTTTCTTATACTTGGTTTGGTTGTAGCTCCTCATCCTCTCTGAAACAAGCTTCTTTTTTACTCCTCTCCCTTTAAGGCAACTTTGTTCTTATTGGCTGTTTCCCACAAACAGAAGGTTTGAGGGACAAGTGGGTGGAGCTTCTGTGGTAAGGGCCAGAACTGGAGAACACCAATATTAGGATATCGCCCCTCAATGACATCACACATTACAGAAGTTAAAAAAACCACATAAACCTGAGTGTTTGTCTCACAGTGAGTATCTGTAAACATGATGATCTCATTATCGTAAATTTGAAAGTGTATAAATGAAAACAAAGAAAAGCACAACAAATGCCGTCTTTTTACAAACTGCGCTGCTAGAAACAAACAGAATGTGTTTCTATGAAAGAAGGAAATGAAATCACTGTCAGATCATTTCTACACGTTTAAACCTGAAATAATTCTGCAGAAAATAAAAACATGATAAGAGAAAATTAAAGAGAGAAAGTTAAAATAAAATGAAAAGATTAAATATTAAAATAAAAAATGCTTCAAAAATCTTGATCTCATCCTCATGTTTGCATCAACCTAAGAACACGAACACACACACACACACACACACACACACACACACATACACACACACACACACACACACACACACACACATACAGTAATTTTCAAATCGATGTTATTTCCTGTATTTTAACCTCAAATCTGCTCCTACATTATAAACTCTCCCTCATGTCAGAGTCAGTTGGACGGGCAGTCAGACTCTCTGCTACTTTCCATACTACAATCATGTAGTGCACTGAAAATAAATTCAGAAGCTACAAATCTAACTATACAAAAGTATTTTGGATTAAGTAAAATATTCATAAAATCAATGATGCCATTTTGATTGTTACCTTTGCATCATGAGCTGCTGTCTGATAACTTCTGCACCAGATCATTTCTGTTAATTTTCCTAAAAACCTTCTTGGTCACCTCCCCAGACTTTTCTGTGTAGGTCTGCACCACCAGGTCCACCAGGTCACAGGTGCTGGCCTTCTCCAGTTTGCTCTCTGAGATGGGTTGGAGCTCCACCAAAACATCACGGTCCCGCAGGAACCACTTGAACTTTTCAAGCTCCTCCTTTTTCAGATCTTCCAACATTTCCAAAAGCTTCTCTCTGTCTGAGTGGACTGTTAATGCCTGAGAACAAATGAGGAGATATAATTTGATATCAATCAGTTATCCAAAAATAAAATTATGCATAACAACCATCCAATTCAATCACGAGGGGGTTTTATTCAGTTTTACATTCTGAATTATGTTTAACCTGCATTTTAATGACTTAAAGCTTTTGTGTGTAAAGTCAGGCGTTACTCACCTTTGGCATCTGTGCTGCAGCATCACTGTCCCACTGTAACTTTAGCTTTTTATGCTCTTCTTCTTCTTCTGGATCCTCATCGTACCTCTTTCTGTTGGATTTGAACAATGCCTGGTAAAGTTAAAGCAAAGAAAGGAATATGATTAGATCAGTGATTAGTTAGTTAAGTGTAAGAACCATGACATTTAAACATTTTTAACACAGCAGTTAAAATATTGCTTTTAAAAAATGTAAATCTTATGAATGAAGCTGTGTTGTGTAAAGTCAGAATAAGTTTCTTACTCACTTTCCTTCCCCGTGCAGGAGGATGTTTATCCACCGAGTGTTTCTCTGAGAAAGAAGAAAGATGAAACATAAATATTGATTGATTTGATTCATGAAGAGTTTTCCGATGGAGTGGAGTGTGTTTAATGTGCCAGGTTAAATATGCTATGAAAACATCAGAATCAGACTAGCAGCAGATATCTAACATTAATGGACTCAGATAAAGTGACCAGGCCCCGCCCACTTTGGAGCCATTAGAACAGCCAAATAAGGACCTACAGTAGTCCAGCCTAGAAGGAATAAAATGCATTAACTGATTTTTCAGTATCACTCTGAGACAAAAAGTTTCTAATTTTATTCATAATCATCTGAATTTTTAAAGGATGAATCGTGGTCAGCAGGTTCCTCTGTCTTTGGCTGCATCCACACATATAAGGCTCATTATTGTAAACTTATATAACTGCATATCATTTTTTAATGGTTTGTGTTATATCACCACCTTTTGTTATGGCAATGACCTTTTAAAATGTATTTGATGCACATTTTAGTGTGGAGGGAGATATTTTTTGAAATGAGCTCAGAAAAATCCCTGTTTTGAAAAACAAAGGGTAAATGGGCGGTTCTTATTTAGTACTTTTCTACCAGATGTCTCATTCATCCATTCATACAAACACTTTTTCTGGGCTTTCTATCTCAAATTCACACTCCAGTGAGCCGGGTTCAATGTCCTGCCAAAGGATACTGAATCCAGACTGCAGCAGCCCTGAATTGAACCACCAACCTTCTTGATAACCATGTGCACAACCTTTGTCCCATTTTCATTTTACTTCCTGTTTTATTTTCAAAGCAGGGTTGTTCCGTTTCCTGCCTGCATTCATGTCTATGATTAAGTTACAAGTGCTTTAGTATCCCTCTCCATGGTGTGTATTTAGTCTGTGCATTTTCACTCTTCCTGGTCATTTTCTCATCGGCTTTAACTCCTGTTGTCTCCCTGTATCAGCTTTTCCTTCTTGTTTTGGATTCTGTGGTCATTTTTTTTGCTTCTATCGCAGTGGTTTTCATTCCAGTTTCACTCTATTTTTAGTTTTGAGTAAAGTCTAAGTGTGTGCAGTTCATCTTCAGTAAGGCAACAACTATGAGTTTTTTCTTGAATACTAAAAGTAATTTACTGAAAAGATAGAACAGTTAATATCTGTGAACCTACCAGCTGCCAACGTGCCGACACCAGCTGCTCCCCTTGAGGATCCTGCAGCTGTGAAACATTGAGGAAAATTTACTGTAAGAAGTTAATTGGTTTAAACCACGTTTAATGTAAGGAACAAATGGAATATGGACGCTTGATGTCATTGTTTGATGCATCAGAGTTTAATAATGAGCTGTGTCATCTGATTAAACAGGTGTAGCCGTCATGTCTGAGATTTGGTTTCAGACCATTTCAATGCAATTTCAGAATAATGTTGAAAAATATGTTTTGAAATAAGCTACGTTCAACTGCGCCCTGCCATACGGGGTCACTGCAGATGTTTGATTTGGCAGTTTTACACTTCCTGACATAACACAAAGGGGGATTTGTGCCTCTGACTGGAATCAAACCAGCATCCTTTCCTCTCCAAGTAAACCATACTTCTGTTCTATGGAGCTCTTTTCTAAAACCTTTCTGTAATAAATGGTGCCATTTTGTTTCTTATCACAAGCTGATACCTAACAGCATCAGCTCCAGATCATCCTGTCTGTCTGTGCTAGTTTGTTCTTTGTCCCTCCTTCAGTTTTCCTTTACTAATGTTTGGTGTTTTTACTGGTTCTCCCTCCGTCTCTCGTCATCTGTGTCATCTTCTTCATATTTCTCTGTGTCAATGGAAAATTGTACTTAGTAGTCAGTATAATCTTTTAGTGATATGAGTTCGCATATGGTAGAATACTGCATGTAGTTATTTGTATTAGGAAATATTTAACCATGTATGCTTAGAGGCATATAATCAGTTGTGTAGTGACACGATGTGTGATCTCTAGCAGGCTGCAAAAGGCTTGGTGTGCACTCCAGGAATGCACCCCCACGTCCTGGGAGCATGAGAGAGGTCGTACTTTGTTTTATTGTTTTACGGTAGGATTAACGTAGCTATGTCTGTTTTAGTTCAAGTGCTTCTTTACATATAGATGAACAGCTGGACTTCCTCACCATGTTATCTAGGGTGAAACATCTAGGGTGAGGGGGAGACTACCCTCTTCCTGACCAAGGATGTTTCCTTTTGTGTTTTCATGTTATATGACCCTTTGATCAGCAGGACCACACACACACACACACACACACACACACACACACACACACACACACACACACACACACAGAAGTATAAATAAAGACTGGGGCAGTTTCTTAGCGCGAGTCTCTGGAGGCTGCCCTTGCTAGCAAGAAGTTCTGTGTGTTTCTCTTCTCTGAGTCTTTACTGAAGAAGTGTTTTAGAATATATTCCTTAACACTCTGACTCTGTTTTGTTCTTCTTTTTTTGTACTTGTACTTTTTGCCATCTCTGTGAAGCACTTCCTGTCCCTTTGAACGTTTTGATTAAAGAGAGTGAGCATGTAATCACTTCTGTTTGGTTGGGTTGTCTAACATATAACCTTGACCATCACTGGTAACTTTGACCTTGGACGCTAACAATGAAGGTTAAAGGTCAAACCATAATCAAGTAAAAAAACAAAAATCCATATCCAGTAATACGACATGTGAGCAGCATGGAAGGAGATGTGCAACACACTGTTTATTTTTTCAGTTCACAATGATGCCATAAAGTTTTGAAGGCTTATAGAAGCCAAAGATTTCAGCCAATTCTGCTCCAATCACATGGGTGAAGATGATCAAATACACCATCTTAGTATGCAATACTTCAAGGTCAAAGGTCAGGGTCATGCCATACAGGACAAAGCTTTAGTTTCAATTTAATCATCTCTAAAATTTAAAGCAACATCTTGGTCATTGGGGAACATAAGCACAGTTAGTATTGATCAGTTTTCTGTGTTTCATTATATAAAACTGAGTTAATATTGATGAACCTACCAGCCGACTGAGAGCTGACAGCAGCTGCTCCCACTGAGGATCCTGCAGCTGTTAAAAATAACAAGGAAAGTTTTTAATTTCTTAACAAATGTTCAAACTTCTTAACTTTCATTATGCCAGCAAACTGAAACATTAGAGACTCAGTGCCACCAAATTAAAACAATTAAACAACTACACCAAAGAATATTCCACTAAACTCTGGTCTACTTAAAAAACAAAAAAAGAAGAATAAAATCATTCATTTATAATCTGAGTAAAAGGTTCGTCTAAATGCTCCTTTCGTGTGATATCTTACCTTCGGCTTGACCAGACTCTGGATGGTCATCTGGAATTCAAGGAAAATCAAAATATGGATACTTGACATTAGAGTTAAATATGAAAGTTTCATCTGAATAAAGCCGAGTGTTCAAGCAGCTGGTTGCCATGGGAACCCATTCTCTGAAACGCTCTATGCACTGTTGTTGAGCTAATCTGAAGGCCACGTGAAGTTTGTAGCGACTGACTCTGCAGAAAGTTGGAGGCCTCTGTGATTTTACGTGGCCCGTCACTTTGTGGCTGATTGGCTGTCGTTCTTTGTTATAATACCATTAATATATGATTACATATGTGAGTATATGTCCAGTGTGTACAGGTACATATGTCATATATATCATAGAAAATCCACAACATTAGTCCTGTGGTGAAATTCCCTTGTTACAAAATATTATACATACAGTCAGCTGTACTTCTATATACTAAATATATACTTATACTGGAGTATTTTTTCTACTCGTTCAAAATCACAAGACCCACATATTTAGGTCAAAGATTATCTTCAATAATATTAATGAAGTTTGTGCCCTTTATTGTACAAACACATGCTGATCAATACTGTTTGAAAATGTACTAGTTAGGATCAATAAGTAACCTTTGACTGTGTTATGGCCAACGGTGACTGGTTCAAACAAAGGTTTCTTTGGCACTGCTAAAGTATGCGCATAGGACACTTTCTCTGCGTTTATCTGTAGCGCCTCACGCTGTGTCCAGCCCTTTCGATGCCTATACGGCAAACAAACCTGCCCCCTGTGCGTGAAGCTGGGATTCTGGTTCTCACCTCAGCCACCAGAAGGCAAGAAAAACCTTTACTCGGCATAGAAAGCAGCTTACGTCTGGCATGCGTACCTGACAAAATTGTCAAATTGATTAACTGTTAACTGCCGTTTTCTCATCAATTTGACAAAGTGAGCCAATTCAATGATGGATGTAAAAGTTATGGGGCAGGGTCAGAAAGTTATGCATCATACGTGGAAGATGAAAAGAAAGAACAAAGGATGAAAGAGTACCCAACGGCAGGCGGAGGGGTCACTGATCCCATATAAGAGGAGGGTCGATATGCCCCGCTCTGCTGCTTCTTCCCTGTCTGTCTGTTGTGTGTCTGTGCTGTTTGTGCTTTGAGGCTCTACACTCCGGGGTTGCTTCGCTTTGCTTGTTCACTTTTTCTGTCATCCTGGTTTATTGTACTGATTAATGCTGTTTATATGACCCTGTTTAAGAAACTCTAAGAATTCTACTCTTTTCCAGAGGATCTTTTTGAGTGATTTGATTTTTAATTGGATCTGAAAAGCTGGACGTCCACAGCATTGGTGGGATAAGGTTATCATACTGGCTTCAAAATGTGCGACTCGACACTTGTTGCACAGGTGGCGTCTTATCACAGGACCATTGAACTGCTGAGAACGAGTGATTCTTTCACATGTTTGTAGAAGAGTCTGCATGTCTTAGTGCTGATTTTATACACCTGAGGCCACGGAAGCGATTTTAACACATGAATGAAAGGATGTGGATGAGCGAGTGAATACTTTTGGAAACATAGTGTCAACCAAACTGCTGCAGACTCTTTTAAGTTTGATGGAAAAAAAAACATCTTACATTTGACATTATATGACATACAGTATTTCTTATATTAGTAACAGTGTGGGTAATATTGCTTCATAACCACTGACCTGCTTGAATTTCACATTTCCATAGTGGCTCATCAGCTGGTTCACCATCAGCTGGGTGAGTGTGCACCAGTGTAAGTATGAGTTCACTGCCTGGATTCTTAACGTACACCTCATAGAAGTTTTGCCTGTTGTATCTGAGGGTTAACTCCTGTGTTTGAAAAACAAAACAAAAGAACTTTAAAATACCTCTGTGAGCGCACACACACACACACACACACACACACACACACACACACACACACACACACACACTTGTGGTTCTTACATCTGGCTATTAGTACAGAAATGGAGCCTCCAAGTTTTACATTTTACTTTTTAAATCTTCTTATTTAAATATATTTGATGGACAAAGTGTAGGTGACAGAGACTAAAGATAAAAAGACAGTTTATCTGTGGACTTGTGATATTATTTAGATGCAGTAAGACAGATGTAAGTGATTTTCAGTCAAAACAATGTTGAGGCTCAGACTTTGAGTTTTTTAAATATGCTCTAATATGACCTGAGCACTTGCCCTTTGACCTTGTTCACATCAAGAGTTTTATAATGAACTAAAACTAAAACCAAAATTACCAGAAAAATGTGAACTGGAATAAAAACATAATGACCTACAGACCTTTTTACTCAGTTTAATCACATTTGTTTGTTTTTTTATTATTATTCTTTTTAAATACACAACTTCTTACTTTCCTTATCTATCAGGTCATTTTGGGAAAAGGTGATGGCATTTAAATGAGCCATTTAAAAAAATAGCAGCACACTAATATAATTACTTTGCAACTCAATGTTTGAACTTAAGAGTTTTAGGATTTTCTTCAGAACTTGATTTTCCTGAAACACTAATGTTGACTTTTACCATTATTTTATGTTCTTCAGGTAAAACTATCATCAGCACCTGAAGAAGACTGAAATACAGCATCAAACACTGCTGTGTTAAAGTGTGTGCAGCTGTGCTAACAAAGACAGCTGATAGTCCCTGGTGTGATGGCCCTCACCTCACTGACTCAGCCAATGCAAAGACACACGTATGTTTCAGAGCAGCCGTGTCATTCTGGCTAAAATAAGGCCTGATGTGTTTTCTGCCAACAAGGTTTCGATCCACATGTAGCACAAACTTTACAAACTTTACCTTCGGCTGAATTTTTGCACTTGTGTTGTCGGCTTTGAGGCTGAAAAGACGCTCGGTTTGCAGGTACTGGTCTGGGGGATGCTTTATGATTTTTTTAAAGTTCAAATGGGATTTTGTCTCATCATTTTTCTCACGATATTTCTCAGCAATTTCCTGTTTAAGAAAAAAAAAAGGAAACAAAAAAGCAAAGTAATCAAAAATAGGGGTTAACTTTACACCAACTTACACCATCTGTGTTTGAAATGACATTTATAACCAAGCAATAAGATTTTTGTGAGAGAGTATTATGGTCTGCTGGAAAAGAAAAAGGGAGGAAAAAGTCACATTAATGAGAATAAAGTCAGAGATTGTTGTGAAATATTGTGTCAAACTCTGAGAGGGAGAGTATCACCATGTGAAGGTGATCAATATTTTGCATCTTCATGGGTGCTTTGTGAACTCTCGGGTTAATAACAAGTGACTAATTTTTAATAATCAGAGTTTTGTTATATGAAGTCTGTATGATGTAATATTATAAACTCTGGTCTGGATCCAAATAATCTCCAGATTACAGTGAAGAGATTTATCAGCAAAGTGACTCTCACAGGTGCTGCTGATGTTAAAAGAAAAACTATGATTAAAAAATATTCTTATAATCAAACAGAAGAGATTTATTGTAGCAATAGAGACATTTTTACAATTGGCTTCAATATAAAACACATTTTTCACTTTTGTCTTTTGTCAGTCGGTCCTAATGTTTGGAATCTTGTCCTGTTTCACATCATTAAGATGTTCAGTTACCTGTTCCAGAGCAGGATCCTGTCGTATCAGGTAGACGTGGAGTTTGAGGAACGATGTGTTGGGTTTATAGTACATCAACATGTAACAGCTGATTTTTGGAGGAAATATGAAACGTATCAGAGCCGCTATCATCGAGAAATTTGGCTCAGTTAACTTGACATGTGTTGGTGTGACCTCAGACACTGTTTCCACAACATCTCCACAGTCATCTATGTGAAGGACTGCAAACGTGTCCAATATGTCAGGGATGTCATCTGCAGGAGAACACAACAACACAAACATGGTGAGAAGAACAGTTTATAACAGTTTGTGCGCTCACTGTCAGAAATGTCAAACATCTGAAAGTCTTCCTTCATGTCCTCTTACCGATGCAGATCCAGTGTGGCAGGTGAACTTCATTTAACTTCCCAGCAGTGACTGTGACGTCCATCAGAGGACCTGCAGGCATGTATTGTCTGCTCTCCATCCTCTCCATGTGTCCCTCCCAAGATCTAAACTGGTACTGAAAGCTGGTCTTTCCCTTACAGACCCAGCGCAAGCCCGACACTCTGCATTCAAAGTGTCCTGCTGCAGACTGAAGGCTGAAACAGGAATTAAATACACACTCATGAAGGAACAACAGAGTGAATGGAAACACAGAGAGTAGTCGTGTGAATCGGATGCAAAATGAAGAATTTCCTCTGGGAATAAATCCAAAGCTGAACTGTTTCCTGTAGTTCCAGTTTGCTGTGCTGCAGCATTCAGGAAGTTGATTTACCTGTAAGTTGGAGCCTCGTCTGCATCTGTACTGTTCACCTCAGGTTCAAGTTTAGTCCAATCACTGCAGTCCTGCTGCAGAGGACAGTCTCTTTAGTCAATAAGTACACATGTTTATAAAGAAAGAAACTTTAGCAATAAATGGATGAATGGAAGGGATTACCGTCAGGCTCTGACAACCTTCAAGCTCTGAACTTCTTTCAGTTTTTCGTCCTTGTTGAGACACAAAGAATTCAAATGAATGATGTTATGCTGACATATAAAATCATCCTCTAACTGTCCACATGTTTGCTGTTTGATCACTTTATGCTGTGCAGTGCTGCTTCAACATCAGAACAACATGTTCAGCAGGACGTGCAGCTGAGTGACGTCTAAGATGATCAAAAGCTGATGAATCCAAATATTCTCACCAGTGATGTCAGAACAAGACAGAGACAGAGAGAAAGGTTGGATTCAGCTCTGATCATTTATGCAAAGTTATTTTTGGACGTCTGTTGTGTTTCCTGTTTATTTTAATGTTTGTTGATTAGAAGTTGTTTAAACAAGTTTATTGTAAATTATGAAAATCTGTTTATTAAACTTTGTTTGGTCTCACCTGAGCTGCTCTCTGACAGCCTCAGCATCAGATCAGGTCTGTTCATGTCTGTTAAAACCTCAAGGGTCACCTCCACAGACTGATGACCAAGTTCATCCACCATCACATACACAAGGTGTTCTGTCCTGTTTGGATACATCTGTATCCAGTACCTCTCCATTTGTGGCAGGCTCATCTTAAAGCACGTGAACGGCAGCAACTGCTTGAATTTCTTTAGATCCTTTTGACTGAATTCATTCAGTGTTTTGAAGAGAATCTGTCTGACAGCTTTCTGTTCTTTTTCCTGTAAAACCAAAACAATGTATTAAGTTACTGTATAATATCTCTGTTGGACGATTTAAAGATTTCTTTTTATTTAATTTCCAGAGAAACTGAAATAGAAATATCAAATATTAATAAAAAGATGTCTTCATTAATATTTATGTTTCAGAACGATCACCGACGAGACAGCTGGCGGTTTTGATATTTAACTTTGTGTATTTATGAACTTTAGTTTCATGAAAAAAAGTATTGTTTACTTTCCATCAGTACTAAAACCTAAATGTCCTTTTTTCTGGAATTAAAGTCTTTGTAAAGTTAAAGACAAAGAAAAATCTAAAGATGTCATTTCCTGGTTTTATCGTCAGTAGTAGATCCTTCACTCTGTCGTCAGTGGAAACATTATTGCTGCAGACTCCACATTAACACTGTGAGAAGCATCCAGTTTCAAAGATGCTTCGTCTGTTTCATCGTGTTTAATGTTCAAGATGAGGATGATTTACAGCCTGAATCTACTGAATGAAAGCTGAGTTAAAGTCACACTCACTCTCTTCAACAGTGCAGCTCCATGTTCATCCACAGAGTGTTTCTCTGAGGAGGAAAGACATTTACAATCAACTCTGAGGATTCAAACATCATCACACATCCAAGTAGAATCAGCCTTCAGACGACACAGATGATTTAAAAGAGAAAATCATGTGAAACTAAATAAAATGACATAAGAACCCAACAAAGAAACCCTCCATCCTGTCCAACCAAAGTAACTGGGGGTTCCCAGCTGTGATAATGAGAGAGGGTACACCTGTCCACCTCAGGTTTTAAACAGACAGACAACCTTTCACACCCACATTTAATTTAGAACCAGCAATAAAGCCAACAAGCATGTGTTTGGACTGGAAACCAGAGCACTCTGAGGAAAAGCATGCAGGCACAGGGAGAACATGCAAACTCCACACAGAAAGGTTCCAGCCAACCAGGAGGCTCAAACACACAACCTTCATGCTGTGAGGACACAGTGCTAACCACTGCACCACCATGACACCAGCAACACAAAAACCTGTTGATGACACAGAGTTTACACTCATGCATGTTGGTCTTACCTCTGGATGCTGAGCTGCTCTCTGGTAACTTCTGCACCAGATCAGTTCTGTTCATGTGCATGAAAACTTCTCTGGTCACCTCCACAGACTGATGACCAAGTTTATCCATCATCAGATTTACTGTATCTGCTCTGTTTGATAATCGACTCAACCTCCGTGAGAAGAATGACAGATTCCTCCAAGGAATGATCGTCTGCAGGAGCCTCTTAAATTTCTTGAGCTCCTCATCACTCAAATCATTCAAAGTTTCTAAAAGCAGATGTTTAACAGCTGCCATTGTTGCCATCTGGAACAATAAACACAATCACGGGGTCACATATTTATTTAGCCAAACACAAGCATCTATTTACTAGTTGCGGTACATTTATGAAAAAAATGAAGAAAATATAAAACTGTGATCCACTTTTATGGGTTTGAATACTTTTCTTTACAGGCTGCAGTTCTTCTCTCACTGTGCAGATAAAAACTGAAATATATCCATCAAGAATCTTTCCCTGATTTCACATCATCTTTCATTCTTTATTAATATTTGTAAGTAGAATAAAGTTTCCTGTTTAATCTGAAAGTGTTTGATGTTTTCAGATTTCTCTGTCCTGTTGAAGAGTCAGGACAAATGTACATGCTGACACTTCCTCAGCTCATCCTCAGTGGTAAAGACATCCTGACATTAGTGTTGCAGAAAATTACTGCTGAAGAAGTCAAACTGAATGAAGCTTCAGTTTGTCACAAACATCCAGCAGAAATCATGAGAAAATGAGTCAACATGAGAACTGATGATACTTTAGTCCTCTGACTTTCAGCCTGCTGTCTTGTACTGAATCAGAGATGTGACATGACTCACTTTGTGGATCAGTGCAGAGCGTCGTTCATCCACAGAGTGTTTCTCTGAGGAGAAAAGTGCTCAAAGTCACTCATGACAAACACATTTAACAACTAACTGACAATTATTCAGGAAATATGACTTTGGAAAAATGGACAATATGCAGAATTACACTGAAACCTCCTCAGCAATAATAAACAGTATGAAGGAGTCATTTTTACTCCTCCTCACAGAGTATTTTGATTTAATCTGGTCTCATTTTTATGTATTTATTGAAGTAGATTTTTCCAGAACAGCCATAAAATATGTTTTAAAGATGTGTTTTTTGTCTTTATTACAAATATTATTTATAAAGTCAAAGAAGACTTTAGTCAGACGTTTATGAGACATGAAAACAGTTTTATGACTTTAATGAGTTTTGATTTTGTTGTCTTACTTCGAGGCAGTGAGCTGCAGTCTGACAGCCTCTGAGCCAGATCAGTCCTCTTCATCTCCTTTAAGACCTCCATGGTCTTCTCCACTGACTGTTGGCCGTAAATCAGCACCATCAGAAACACTGTGTGCTGCAGGTCTGTCCTCATGTACCACATCCATGAGAAGTCTGAGTAATATTGGTGAAGATGAATTTGTGGCAGGTTCTTATTGAACTCACTGAGCTCCGGCTCATTGAGACCATCCAGAGTTTCCAGCAGCAGCTCAATAACAGACTCCATCGTTTCTACCTGGAAAATTCAAAGAAAATGTTCATGAGATAAATGTGACATTTCTCACTTTCAGGTTTGTTTGTTTTCTCATCAACACTTTACAAATGTAGATGTGTTTAGATGACATCATCCATCACATAAGGTGATGATGTCATTGGTCATATTTGTCACAATGATCACAAACAGCTGATTAACAATTATTCTGCTTCTGTTAACAAGTTCAGGACTTTCTGACCTGCTGCAGACCTCCCTCACTGCACACGCTCAACTTATCAAACTTTGACTTTTCCAATCAAAATCAAATCATTTGTTTCTATTGAAGATTTCTATCCTGTGTTTATGAAATGAAAGCTGGATGATCTGAAGTCAGACAGATGTGACATGACTCACTTTGTGGATCAGTGCAGGCCAACGTTCATCCTCAGAGTGTTTCTCTGACAGAAAAGAAAGATTAAAAGCTTCATTCATGACTGATTTAACATCAGTGTTAATAATCAGACACTTTGAAATAACTGATGCTTTGATTTCATTCTGATGATCCTTGTAAGTTGGATTAATAACAACATTAAACTTGTTAACATGAAGTCATATTTGATGGGAAACTATCAACGTGTGAGGAAATGATCCAGTTCTGTTTCATTCAGTAATTCTTCTTCTTCATCTTCTTCATCTTCATATCAATGAGTGTATTTATTGATTCATGTGTTTTCTGGACACTGACCTTTCTCTGTTTCCTCCACATCAAATCCTTCAGCTGATGATCCTGCAGCTGCAACACATTGAATACAAACTGTAACTACATGACACAGACACTGTGTGTGTCCTTTATGTGTGCTCATCCTGAGTATAACACTGAGTCCTGACAATAAAAAGCTTTAATATTTCACTTTCAGCTGTGCTGACTGAAGGCAGGAGGAGGCCATAGTTACACAATCACAGAGAAATCACTGAAAAGACTTTGAATCATTTACCTCATACAGGTCGTCTGTCTCCATAGTGGAGTTTCAATCAAAGCTAACATAAAGATCCATTTACAACACAAGACTGATATTAATGAGCTCAAAATGCAAAAAACAAAGAAAAATATTTTCAAAGGAAAGAAGTTCAAAGAGCTTTAAAACAACATTTACTAAAGAAAGTCACTGATTCAATAAGCTGAATATTTTTACTTTAAACATTGAAATATGAAAACAAATCTGTTTAATTTTACTGTGTTTGTACAACCTGAATGTGTTCATTTATCAACGTCTGTCCAAAATAAATCAGAGGAAACAAATTCTTTCATTTATAAATGATAATAAAGTTTATATTATGCAGTTCTTGTTGTGAGTTTCTCTGATTTAATTCTTTAAATTAATTTTTACTGTAAGGTGTAATATTATATTTAAAATCCTTCCACACACAGTTAAGAATAATCCCAACATATCTGTTGTATTAATTTATGCAGCTTATGATTATTGTACAGCTGTCCTTCTTGGCCAGGACACTCTTGTAAAACAGATTTTTAATGTCACAATTTTATTTTTTCCTGGTTAAATAAACTTTAATGAATAAATAAAATGTATTAAAGTTATTACAGACACTCTGACAGATTATTTCCTCTTACCTTTGAGTCCTGAGCTGCTCTCTGACAGCCTCTGCACCAGATCAGTTCTCTGCATGTCTGTTAAAACCTCCCTGATCACCTCCACAGACTGATGACCAAGTTTATCCATCATATCATTCACTATTCCTCTTCTGTCATTATTCAGTTTGATTTGTGGAAGACTCTTCTGAAAATAAGTGAACTGCAGGAACAACTTGAATTTGTTGAGATCCTGATCACTCAAATCCTCCAGTGTTTCTAGAAGCACATCTGTAACAGCTGCCATTGTTGCAACCTGGAAAATTCAAACATTCATAAAGAAAAAATGTTTCCTCACTGAGAAAATTACAGATTTATGTTTTTGTAGCTGTTTTAAACTTTGAATGTTTTCAATGTTTTCTCTGAAACACTTTGTTTTCTTTTATTATCTTATTTATTAAGATGTATTTATGTAAACACACTTTTTAATAATGTTTGATTTTTAATCTAAAAACATTTCTGTGACAACTGTTTAATCTAAATGATGAAATTATGATTTTCAAACTGCATCTTATTGAATCAAAGCTGAACTCTGCAGAGTCAGACAGATGAGACGTTACTCACTTTATGGATCAGTGCAGACAGATGTTCATCCACATGTTTGTCTGAAAAAAGAGAAATTAACAGAAATAGAAATAAGTGTTTAATAAAAGCTAATCGAGCTTTAAAAAAATACACAGAGAACAAAAAAAAAGTTACATTTAAACCTGCTGAACATCATTTTCTGCTCGTCAACAATGCTCTCTTTGCTCTGTAAATCTGACTGTTTCTAATATGAACTGAAGCAGAAACACTTTTATCATTTTAACATGTTTTGTCTTTATCTCACTTTGAGCTTCTGAGCTGCTGTCTGTCAGCCTCTGAGCCAGATCAGTCCTCTTCATCTCCTTTAAGACCTCCACGATCTTCTTCACTGACTGTTGGCCAAAAGTCCTCACCATCAAAAACACCACGTCCTGCACGTCCTGCAGGTCCTGCAGGTCTGACATCTCAGACAGACTCATGAGGCTCATTGAGCCATGTTTTCTTCCCAGGATCTGGATGAAGTCTCTGACCTCGCTGCCTCTCAGATCAGCCAGTGTCTCCAAAAGCAGCTCAATAAGAGACTCCATCGTTTCCACCTGGTAAAAACAGAGGTCACATGACAGCGATGCACCATTCAAATGTCTGTTTGATTGTTAATCAACAGAAACATTTTAGTGTGCTAAAAATAAATTCATGTTTGAATCCAATTCCTTCTAAAAACCTGAAAAGATGACCTTTGACCTTCAGACATAAAGCTGCGTCTTTTTAAGGTCATGACCGGTCGACCAGATGTAGAGCAGAAAATAACCTCCATGAACATCTGGTGCTCGGTGGGTACCTGCTTGGATTGGTTTTTTATTTCTTGGCTCATTTTTTCCTCTTTTTGAAGGATTTAATTTTCATGAACAGGTTTGTGACTCTGTTTTACTGCCTGACTGTAACTCTGTCAAAGACTGAGCTACAAAAACTGCAGTGAGTCTCCTGATTTTACAAACAGAGGGGAGCTTTAACTGCTCGCATCTTTACTGATAAACAGAAAGACTTGAATTTAATCTGCTTTTAAAATGTAAATAAGGTTTAATATTTCTATACCAATCATGTATAAAACTCATGTGTACATGACAAAGCTGCAGCTTGAATCTCATGTGTATGATTTGTGTTGAAGATGAAGATCATTTTCAGTCTTCATCTACTGAATCAAAGCTGAACTGTGTGAAGTCGACTGATGTGACGTTACTCACTCTCTGGCTCAGTGGAGGAAACTGTTTGTCTGAGGAGAAAAGAAAGAGAAAAAGTCAGATTAGAAACTGTTTTATCATCAGGCTTTATGAGGATTTAGAACATGAAAGATTTCACATCAAAGTGACACTTAAACCTCGTTAACTCGTTAATAATGATTTTAGAGAGAGGCCTAACTTTGTGAATGAGAGCACACACAGGATACTCTGATCACTGATCACTTTTATGTGTGTGTATATACACACACACACACACACACATATATAAATATACACTACATGTCTTTGAACGTGACGGGAGTCGACTCCACATCGGGGCGTTTCTGTCCAATGAGGGTCCCAGGCTGCCTCTCCCATGCTAACCAACCGTAACTTGGAGTGAGAGACATAAATATGAAGCCATACCAGCTGGGACGTCACCCAGGTGGCATAGTGGCTCCAGCAGATCCCAGGAAAACATTAGAGATCTCTGTCCAGAAGAGCGCTGTCAGAGTTTTACCCCTGATACTGCTGGATAAACAGAAACTCACTCAGGAACGAGGTCACACACAGCTCAAGTTTTCACTCGCGACAGGGAAGCAGTTGATCTCCAACCCACTTCAACTTGCTTCCCCCTGAAGGTCGTTTTTATTGTTTACACACATGACTATTCATAAAGCTCGTTGCTGTATTAACTAAGACAAATTACTATACATGGTTAGAAAGTGTGTTGTGCAAGCGTGGTTATACAGTGTGAGTGGTTATATGATGTGAGTGCAGCCCTCCCAGGATGATGTCAGTATCTTGTCCCGCCAGGTGGCTTCCTTCACTGCGTACAGTCTGTTCTTCTCAAAGCTACTTGTTCCCTTTATGGAGGTCGTGCAAATACTCATATTTGTGGGTTACACAGCGAGCAAATAAAACGCAGCTTCTCAAGACTCCCAGGGTTTTCCCTGTGGATTATGTAGCTTTGAGAAGATATGGGATCTATGAAGGAATCCTGCGTTTCAGATTGTTTCCATGAAGGTGGAACACATCTTCATGCTGGAAGTGCCTCTCTCACCACCAACCTCTCCCCCAAAGATAAGAACATAATCAGCATTAGCTTGGAGTGCGTTAATTAAGTTAATAACTAAAATTAAACGTAAACTATTAATTACAATTGATGTGATTTGATTATTCTTTTTACATTATTTTAGTTTTTCACTTTTTCTTTGCTCCTGCCAAGTGGATTTACTCAAATCTGTTGCAATTAAAATCGAAACTGTGGACATACAATAAAGGTATAAATATGAGTATTAATCTATATTAGTCCAAATAGCTCTAATAGGTTGTTGCAGCCTTTCCAAGTCATTTCTTCCCCTGGGGCCGATTGAGAGATAGGCTGCCACAATAGGTGTGACTGATAACAGAATAAAATAGAATAGAATAGAATAGAATAGAATAGAACAGAATAGAATAGACCATTATTTTCCCATGAATTAGAAATTTGGGTGTTACACAGCTCATATATATATATGAGCAACTGAAGTTCGTATATACAGGTAACAATGAACAGAAATATGTATAAAAGTGTACAGAGAAATGTACAAGAATGTTTGTGTGTGTGTGTGTGTGTGTGTGTGTGTGTGTGTGTGTGTGTGTGTGTGTGTGTGTGTGTGTGTGTGAGATTCTGGTGAAATGCACAGTGAACAAACAAGCTGATGAGTAAGATAACCTGCTGAGAATGACCTACAGTAGCGCTCCTTCCTACGCTGTGAGTGTAAAAGTGTCATGAACCGGCTGTGTGGAGGCAGATGAGGACCCAAATGCAAAACTCACAGAGGCAGGAACTGAACTCAAAATCACTGCTTTATTGCAGGTTTCACAAAGGAACAGAACTAAACTGGGAATACTAACAGAAGACCGTGGGAACACAGAAAGACACACAGGTTCGGGGAGAAGACATTGACGACGCAACACTGGACTGAGGGAGACATGCACATAAATACACAGAAAGCTAACGAGGGACGTAGGAGCACACAGGGAACACAGCTGACACTAATAGTAACAATGAGACAGGGAAAGAGCAAACACAACATGACGTACACTGACGAGAGACTGTCAAAGTAAAACAGGAAGTACACGACAGACACAGAGACCCAGACTAGACACTGAACAGAGGGAACACTGAGTACAGGGACAAGAGCAACATGAGATACTACTGACTGGGGAACGAGAAGGCAAACAGGAGGACAGAAGTAAACTACACAGAACATGGGGGTACAGGGACCCAAACCTAAGCAGTAGAACCCTCAATCCAAGGAGAACAGAAGAGCTAGAAGTACAAACTGAAACCCAAACCACAATCATCCTAAGAAAACAAAAGTACAAAACTCAAAACACTGGCACACCGACCCAGAACCGTGACAGTGGGAGGTGCTGTCCATGATGAATGTTAGGTTAGACAACATCCTCTCCTCAAAACATCCTCAATGGACTTCAGCGGACAGTCCTGGACAGTCCTGGCCCTTTGGACCAGAGATTAGAGAGATTTGACCTGCAAGGCTACTCAGGTTTCTTCATATCAGGGAAAATAGGGCAGACACTTGCAGGTCAAGGCAGTGAGGCTGGACCAGTCCCCTCACCTACATCGGCTCAAGAACCCTGCATTATCTACTGGATAAGACTCAGAGGATCAGCCACACATGTCTAGATCTGTCCAGCAGCCTCCTCCTGGTAGGACATTCCCAGATAGACTTAAAGGAAACTCATTTCTGTTTGTATCCATAATCTCATTCTTTCAGTCCTCAGAGCTTGTGACCATATGCATGGGCAGGAACATAGCTCCACCTACAAATCTAAAACATCAGGGCCCGCTCTCTCCTCACCAGGGCAGATCAGCAGAGCATCCACATCACTGCAAACACAGCACTAATCTATCTGTCAATCTCCTGCTCCACTCTCCCCTCCCCTGTGAACGACACCCTTAGATACTTAAACTCCTCCAAATGGGGGAACTCGTCCGTGACCTGGAGTGAGCACTCCACCCTTTACCAGCTGAGAACCATGGCCTAAAACTTGGAGGTGCTACTTTCACCCACTTGTTGCACATTCAGATTCAAACTGCCCCAGTGAGAGCTGGAGGTCGTGACTCCATGAAGCGCTTTGTCTCTCCAAAGCGTGCTGCACATGCGTGTCTGTTACATGCTTCCTTTTTATGGGTTGCGTGACCAGAGAACTCCAGCTCTCTCAGGTACAGTAGATGCAGCTACGTCTCCAACATTCTCATAACTTCTAGTCTGGAAAGTTCCCCATCCAGACGATGAAGGCAGTGATGGCATCTGAGTCTTTCTTCTTTATAAACACTGACAGATACTAGATACTGTGTGTTACTTTAATTTAGGACCAGCTGCAACTGAATAAATTCACAATACAGTTAATAAGTCCCATTTATTAAAACTGTAAAGGTGGAATTGTTTGACTGGAGTCCTCTGACACCTACAAACATTTGTATTTTTAAAGAAGCACCAATCAAAGCAGAAATAGAAAATTGTGTGAAACATTAGCAACAACCTGACAAATTCATTAAAAATTTAAATGATAGAAAAAAAACACATCTGTGAGGTATGACAAAAATCTACCACAGACTTCAGTCAGTATGATGAGGGTTAATAGTGACATAATTATAACCTGTAGAGCTGCTTGAAGACTTTCCAACCATGTTGAATGATGTTGGATGTTTTTGTTCTGATCTGATCAAAATACTGTAACTGAGCTTGTGTAACAGTGTTTATGTTGTATGTGATTCCATAATAACCACAATGGATTTGTGATGTTTATTGGCTCAATGGCGCCCTCTCTCAGAGGCAGTGGATCACTGCACTGTGTGGGATCATTAGGTATCAGCATGTGTGCGACCACTATACAGAGCATGTGACCTCTGTAGCTGTCTAACTGTTAATAAGAAGAGTTTCAGTGGTTTGTTGTAATTGTGAAGTCCTGAAACAGTCACATAATATCACTGCACACCGGCTATAAGCTGCTATTATTTTGTAGTGTGCTGTGTTTGAGCCTCCTGTAATGAGCCAGCCTGCCTGACCTGCACATATTCTGCTCTAATCCACGTTATAAAAAGCAGCACGAAAATATAAACGTCTTTGTTCATCATTCACTACACAACACAGAGTCAAGAGATTTTTCTATCAGTCAGCACCTGGTTTCATATGAATGTGATAAACTATGTGCAGTATTCTCACATATTTAATTCTTTGTTCTCTTATTTGTGGTTCCTGAGGTGATACCTGATAATCTCTGCACCAGATCAGTCCTGTTCATCTTCATTAAAGCCTTTCTGGTCTCCTCCACACTCTCTCCTCTGTACGTCTCCACCATCAGCTTCACTACATCCTGTGTGTTTGTTGTTTTCAGTCGGCCCCTTGGCTCGGATGATAGATCTTTCTCCAGTTCAGTGAGTGACTTGAACTCAGCAAAGTCCTCTGGACTCAACTGGTTCAGTGTTTCAATGAGCAGCTTCTTAGTCGTCATAGTTACCACCTGGAAAATGAAGAAATCATATTATACATGAAGGACAGCATGTCTGCTGTTTGTTCATTTGATGGATGGAAACTGACTGCTTTGTATTTCACTAATGACAACATTACTGACATGGACGTTTGTTACTTTTCTATCACCCAAATGAAAACTGTGATTGGACGTGAACGTCAAACATCAGCTTGAACCTTGAATAAAATTGAGAGGATTCGTTTTTGTCCCCAAAAGGACGTTGAGTTGTTTCTAAATAGCTGCAGAAAAAGTTACACTGTGAAGTAATAAATGAACCAGTACAATGTCTTGATGCATTCTCAATCATCCAGGAAAGTAAATCTCCAAGCTAGTGGAGCTGATCACAGCCACAGAAACAGCAATTCGTAACAACAATATTGCAGAAGTGGAAGCAGAGCAACTACGGACGAAAGTTTCGGCCTGTCTCAGCAATGCAAAGCCCCCAGCATCCAACATCACCATGGAGGAGAGGAAGGCACTCACATCACTTAGTGATGACAACAACATTATCCTCCTTCCAGCAGACAAGGGTAGGTGCACAGTATTGCTAAACCAGAAAGACTATCATGAGAAGATCTTGTCACTACTCAGTGATGAAAATACTTATGAGCCCCTGAAACGAGACCCAGGAAGTGGCTACAGGAAGAGGGTGATAGACTGTCTGAAGCAGTTAGAACAGGACAAGGCTGTTGACCGGACCTCATACCACAGGCTGTACCCAGGGGAGTCTACACCAAGTCTGTATGGTTTACCAAAAATACATAAACAGGGTGCACCTTTAAGACCGATTGTCTGCAGTTTCACCCATCGTGGCCAATTTGTACATGGAAGAAGTGGAAAAGAGGGCTTTGCTATCCTACCCTGGAACATCACCAAGCCATTGGTTCAGATATGTGGATGACACCTGGGTGAAAATGAAATCCCAGGACGTACTACATTTCACGGATCACATTAACTCGGTGGACCGACACATCAAATTCACCAGGGAGGATATGAAAAGTGGCAGGTTAGTCTTCTTAGACTGTGAGATTTCCATCAGTAATGGGGGACATCTAAAAGATGACGTGTACCGTAAACCTACACATACGGATCAGTATCTAAGGTTTGACTCTCGTCATCCACTGGAGCACAAACTGGGAGTCATCAGGATGCTACAACACAGAGCGAACACCATCCCCACTGACACAGCGGCCAGGGAGGCAGAAGAACAGCACATCAAGAAGGCCCTGAGTGGTCTTTGATCAGTGGGTTTTGGTCAGTGGTTGTTGATCAATGGTCATGAGAATTTGCATAATTATGATTAAGGAACTGACCTCCCAGCCTATTGTTCTTCACCAGGGAAGTCTCAAATGTCCCAGGAATGGGTGGACCAAAGACCAGCTTTCCAGTGTCATTATCTTTTTTAGGAATTTTGTTGTTCTTTGCCCTAATTTTTCTGTGATTTTGGAGCATTATTTTAGGGTCCCCACATGACACTTTTTTCATTTTGTTAGACATGGCACAGTTGAAAGTAAAAGAAGACAACTCTAATTTGTCATGTGTTGTCAAATTTTGATATATTTTGATGACAAGTACTTTTTGTTGGTCATATTATATCGGGTAAAAATCACCCGGCATTAGTGATTGTGTTGCTGTTTATAGCGATAGCGTTCTAGGGTTAAGATCACGTGACTATCGTGGCCTTTTGAAACCGCCACAACCAGAACTCTACCGTGACCGAGACCTCCGGTTCTTTCCCACAGAGCTCTGCACCTCTGCTTCAAACCAGCAACAGTCACATGATCTAATATAACTTATTATTGTATCTCATTCCCTGTTACACACACATGAAAACAACTCCAACAAGGAAGCAGAACTACGAATGTGAACTTCCAGGAGGAAGCAGAACTTGATGCCGCGCTTACCTTCAATACTTCATGTAAAATGTGAACACCAGGAATCACTGCTGATGGAAAATCATTCTTCAGTGTTTGTGAAGCAGCTTAGTGTGAGGCACTGTTCTCCCGCTGCTTTCTCTCACTTTCTGTAAACGCTGAGGCGGAAAAACTTCCGCGTTTCTGCGTCTCTCTCCTCCCAGCTGTCAGCCCGCCTGAATAACGGAGGCGCCTTGATGCTAGTGATGGGTCGTTCGCGAACGAAATGGCTCTTAGAGCCGGCTCTTTGACGTGAACGACGCGAGCCGGCTCCTTATCGCGAGCCGTCACGTGGTTTTTTTGGTTTTTTTCTCTCAGCCTCTCTCTCGCACTTTTTTTCCGCTTCACTCTGCACGCGAGCCTTGTGCTTTACGCTGGGCAGAGGGGGAGGGGCGGTAGTTACACTCAGTAGCACAGGAACAGAGCCAGAGAGAGAGAAAGAGAGGTAGGGACAACAACATTAGAAAGGTATAGTAATCATCCACAACTATTTTCGGTTGCAGATGATAAAGGATTGAGAAAGTTTATTCATGCAGGTCCATGTGACAGAGAATATGCATGTTCTTTTAGTTTTCATATTATAATTTATATTTAATTGTGTTGTGGTTTGCAGTGTTTTGTGTTCTTTTCACTTTAAATTTGTGAAAGGAAAAAGCTGAAAATTTAAATAGTTAAAACTTGAAATGTGAATAGTTGATTTTTGTATTATATGATTTATTTATTACATTTTATGTGGAGTGAATAAATAAAAGTATATTTACGGTGGCCCCTAGAGACAAAGCACATACAAACTTCAAATCACGTACGAACTCTGAAGCATGTACAAACTCCAAAACACGTAAAAACACGTACAAACTCCAAAACACGTAAAAACTCCAAAACACGTAAAAACACGTACAAACTCCGAAGCACGTAAAAACTCAGAAGCATTTAAAAACTCAGAAGCACATAAAAACTCAAAACACGTACAAAAGACAACAGAAGTGCTCCAGGATGCTGGGCGCAGTGTTGAGCCTTTGTTATCTTGTGGCTACACAAGCCAGCAAGTACCAACGACCGGATTTGGTGTGTGGTAATAACAGGTAAATGAACTTTTTTTTAAATTATTTGAATATATATATGAGTGCCTGTGTATAAATACACAAACAATACACACATGCTTTCAATTGTGTAATTTAAGTGATCTAGTAGCTCTGCTTTGGAAGTTCAGTTCATGCTAGAAATGTGTTTTGGAGTTTGTACGTGTTTTGTCTCTAGGGGCCACCGCATATATTTATATATAAATGTAACCCGGGTTTAAAAGATGCATAAATAGTAAAAGATAAGTGAAGTCTGAGAATATAAATATCAAAGAGTTCATTTATTTAAATTTTCTTGTTTATTAAAAAGGTAAAAGTTCATGTAAAATTATTAAAAACATGTTTGCATTGTTTAAAATAAGTTATCTTTCTTTTCTTGTGAATTGTTTGTGAGAACTGTAATTTCCTACGGGGATAAGGTCGGTGAAGGTAACACAGGGTGGAGAAGGAAAAGGAAAAAAGAGACGAGAGCGCGAGAAGAGGTGGTGCGTGAGTTACACGGAGCATCCGGAGAAGTTAGCTTGTTTTTTATGTACTAAGAGTAAGTGTGTTTTGACTTTTCGGACAGATAAGTCACAGTGTCGGTAAGCTAGTGACATAATACGTAAAGTTTCAGCGTGAGTCTGCTGGACTGTGTGCTTTGTTTCTTGCGGCTGTGCACGCATTAAGTTAAAGTGAGGCTAACCCAGCCGTTCGCTGATAAGGACTACTGTAGGCTGCCGTTTCGCTATAGTTGTGGAACGTAACAAGCTGCAGAGGATCGTTACCGAACTGGTTAACGACGGACACACCCCAGATAGTCACTCTGAGTGCCCGCGTCACTCAGAGTACCTCTGGCAACGTGGGAAGCTAAAACAGGTAGCTTGTGGAGCACGTGGAGATCACGGACCTTCCTCATCTTTGTGCTACTGCATTCAGAGCGGAGTGTTTCTGACGGAGCTGAAGACAACTTGTTACCTGGATTAAGCTGGTGGGAATTGCACGTTTCACAAGGTACTGAGTTTATTTATTTATTTTTTGCTCGTTGAGTGAAGAACTTCCGGTTGGGAGATCGTTTTGGATTTATACTGGAGCAATACAGGCCTGCAACGTAGGGTTTATCTCTGCCGGCTTTAGGTTTAGTTTGGGACTATAATTGTTTTATCACTGGTGGTTTACACTGTATGTGTGGAGATTCTGTGTACAGTGGGTAAATTGCTGTGTGTGTTTTTGGTTTGCCTGAATACTGAAATCTGCCATTTTATTATTTTCTTGTTTTCATTGTTTGGTAAATTAAAGGAGGGTTGCAATGCTCTACTTTACATGGTGTATGACATGATTTACTGCACTATAGACACTAGTGTTAATTTTCGCGTGTAGTGCTACTGTTAAGGAATGAGCTTCATTGATCCCAGAAACAAAAGAGAAGTTAATTTAAAACATCGTACGAGAGTACACTAGAAAAAGAACCCAAAGCCCATTTATTTAATGGTATTGAGTAAATGAGGGCTACATAAAATGGAGGCACCGCTGGGATGTTTTTGGGTCTCATAGAAGTATTAAAGGAGCCACACGCTAAAAAAAAAATAAAATTAAAAGTTAACCTACAGTAGCTAGTTTACACTTCTTAGTATTTTTGGTTATTATGAGTATGGCAGACCACACCGGGCTCGCTGCAGAGCTGAAGAGGTGGTGTCGGGGTGAAGGTTTGGAGGAAGCTAAAGCACTCTTGGTTCTGGTTCCAGAAGAAGTGGAAATAGCCCAGATAGAAGAAACCTTGGAGACTATTAAGTGTCTAGGACGAGTCCGGGTTAGAGGGCGCTTGTTCCACACCCCCTTGAGCTGCCTAATGGTTCTCTGCGAGTGCAAACAAAGTATACCTAAAGATAATGCACCCAAGGAAGTGCTGGACCAGCACAGTGGTGAGAGATGGCCGATAGTGACTCTTAATGAATGTGCAGCTCGTGACGATTTTGCTGTGAAGTTGAAGAGTCTCTTAGACACTGAGGGTAGGACTATGGAAGACATACAAAGCTTATTTCGCAGCTTTGCTCCTCCGCAGCGCAGCTCTGATCCTTCCATAAACTCCACTGAGTCTGTCTTGCAAGCGGTTGGTGATTTTTTGGAGAAGGCACGTAAACCACAAGCTGAAGGTGGTTATCGGCGTTTGAGGCTGTTTTCAGGGAACTTACCAGTTCCCCCTAGTGAAGACCCCTTTGACCATTGGCTTGAGCAGGCATGGCTCATGGTAGAGGAAAGTGACTGTACAGACAAGGAGAAAAGGCGCAGGCTGATGGAAAGTTTAAAGGGGCCGGCGTTGGAGATTGCCAAATCGGTCCGTGAGTCAGACCCTGAGGCGGGCCCTGTTGAATACCTGGAGGCTTTGGAAAGCGCCTTTGGCAGTGCTGAGTCTGGGGATGATCTCTATTTTGCTTTCCGCTTAATGCAGCAACAATCAAGTGAAAAACTGTCTGATTTTCTGAGGCGTCTGGAGAGGGCCCTCAGTAAAGTTGTTCAGAGAGGAGGATTTCCAGCTTCTAGCAAAGACAAAGCTCGCCTAGAACAACTCCTGAGAGGGGCTGTTGTTTCCGATCTCATGCTAATTAATCTGCGCCTGAGAGAGAGAAAGTCCAAACCCCCAACTTTCCTCCAACTCTTAAGTGAGATTCGCACAGAGGAAGAGTATGAGGCATCAAGGAGGAAACTCAATACCTCAGTCCAGCATGTGCAGACAAAACCTTTAGGGACTGACAATACAGAAATACAAAGTCTCAAAGCTGAAGTTAAAGAGCTTAAGGCCAAGTTAGCCACCTGCATGACTAAGTCCCCTGATGTCAAAGAGAAAGGCCCGTTCTCAGTGCAGTCAAGTGAGCCCAGTGACACCAAGGAACTGGCTGCTTTGAAAAAACAAGTGAAAAGACTGCAGCAGAAAGTAGCCCAAAGAGATACTGTTCCGGACTCCTCTTTAAAACTGGCTACCATGGCAGCAGTAGAGGCTAACTCAAAGACAAGGACCCCTTACCAGAACAGAACGCCTTTGGATGAGCAGTTCTGTTACCGTTGTGGGGAAAAGGGACATTTTGTCGCAAAGTGTCAAAATCCTGAAAAGCAGAGCAAAGTTATTCGAAAGCTCATCCAAACTGTCAAGACACTGAAAGAAAGTTCAAGTACTTCAACAAGTAATGCCCCTGACACTGACTGTCATGTCAAGCAGGGTCTTCTGACTTCTCCCACCCCAGCTGGAATTCCGGAGGGACTGATTGGGCCCCCAAGTATTGTGCCACTTAAAGTGAATGGACAGCCCTGTAATGCCTTATTTGACAGTGGATCACAGGTCACCATAACATTCGAGTCCTGGTACAAAGCCCATCTGCCTTCCACCCCAGTGCATCCAGTCACCGGTCTCAACATTTGGGGTTTAAGTGAGTCCAATGTCAGTTACCCCTACCTTGGCTATGTTGTGGTAGATGTTGAGTACCCGGCTGAAGTGACTGGCACCAAACACACAGTACCTGTCCTTGCCCTGATCTGTCCAAGCCCAAAAGAAGAGCAGATTCCTGTCATTGTTGGCACTAACACCAGCCATGTCCGCAATTTGGTGCAGGAATGCAGAAAAGAGGGGCGTGACATAACCAAAAGCCTGGGCATCCAAATTCACAGGGAGTCGCTACCCACTTTCACAGACTCCATCACCCTAGGCTCTCAAGATGACCAGGTTGGCTGTGTGACTTGGCAGGGTTCAAATCCCTTGTCCTTACCCCCTGGAAAAGACTTGCAAATAACCTGCAAAGTTCATTTTCAGCAGACAGTTGGCAAAGAGATCTTGATGTTTGACTCTTCTCCCTTAGCTCCTCTGCCGGGTGATGTCCTGCTTCAACCCATGGTTGTGCCCGCCAATGCGGTACAAGTTAACAGCTTCAGGATCCTGGTGCAGAACCAGTCCGCCAGGGAAACCATTATCCCGGTTGGAACCATCATGGGTCACCTTTATCGCACCGAAAGCGTCATCTCCATGCCAAACAAAGAACCAGAGATGACAGCATTTGACAGCAGCCAGATCGACTTTGGTGACTCTCCTGTGCCTGAAGAGTGGAAGGGCCGGCTTAGACAGAAACTAGCGGAACGCTCCC